ACACACACACACACACACACACACACACACACACACACACACACACATCACCAATAGGACTAAAAAATGTTCTCAGGTTAGAGAGGATACTAAGCAGGTTTGAAGGCAGCCATCAGGAAGGAGCATGTCACCAGTGTCCTGCATTCCAGACAGACTGGTCATCGTCAAGTGGGGAGCTCTCATGAAGGTGCAATACCATCATATTGGCCAGTGGGGCACACCAATTGGACAGAGGAAGGAGGGACCAGATACAAGTAGCAGATGAATGTGTAGGGATAGAAGTCATTGTCTGAAATAAAGTGTGCATGTAAGTGTGTAAAAGCTCACAGGTACTTGTGTGTAATGTGGAAACAACCTGACAAGAAGTCGTGGGCCCTCAGTTGAAGGCACACACATGCACAGTTGCTTTTCATTGTTGCCAAGCCTTTCCATATTTGTGTCTTATAGCACAGGAATCTGAACATGACAAGAGGCTGGACTCAGGAATGAACCCTTTAAACAACTCATTTATGTTCTCCTTCTGAACATCTTCCAGCCCTGGGGTTGGGCTGGAAATGATATGGGACACTGAACCCTGAAAAGTCACAGGAATATGAACATATGCTAGCCTTCAGAACAGCTCTCATAGGAGCAATGGCCTTTGCCGCCACCCCTGCCCCGACCTCTGTGGAAGGCCCTGGGAGTCCTCGAGCCTGGCTGTGTACTATGGATGTCCTTCTGAGTATGGACAGGTGTTCACAGAAGGCTCCACACAGCAGTAGCACATCTTGTCATGACTTTGACGGTGGTGGCTGTGAGTGGAACTCTGAACTGGCTTCTAGCAGCCATGCTAATCCTTAGAGACACCCACAGCACAGCGCAGATGCCCTGAGCTGTACACTTGGCCACTCAGGGTCCCCTCTGGCAGTGGAGCTACCCGCAGCCCACCACTATCCACATCTGGCTGGCCAGCATGTACCTGCCAAATTGCCTAACACACAGTATGTCCACCCGTCCACCCTTACCAAAGGTGGCAGAGTAGGACTCTGTCCAACTTTTGTGCATCAGTGAGATTTTTTTTTTTTTTTAATAGATCCCTTGATAAAACTAGTGCTTCCTGTTTTCTGATGGTTTAGCAAAAACTTTTTGGTCAGAAGAGCAAACATATGAGCTACAACAGGCCTGGGGTAAAAGCCAACTTCTCTATTGTAACTCAAAGTTTCTAGCACTGAGAGTCTTACCACTTGAGCAAGGGCTGATGACACACACCAGTCACATTTTAACTATGGCAAAGGGTAAGAAATGGTCTGGACATTCCAAAGGCACAGGATTCACCTAGGGGACCCACAAATGAGAGAAGGACATCTGAGATTAAAATGAACAGTCTGTGATGAGGGACGACTGTCGGGATGGTACCCTATTCCACCGGCTCAGAGCCCCCAGTAGCTGCTGTGAACCTTCACAGGGACACTTCAGAGCCAGTCCCGCTGGATGACCTTCTCCTGGTACTGTGGGTCTATATCCTACTTTTTGGGTGCAGCTTGCCTGCAATCTGTATGACTACTCCAGTGACACATGTGTGGGCCTTAGCCTGAACCCCAGCTGCTCCCTCAGGTTTGCCACTGGCATGTAGCCTGAGGGGGTGGCGTGATGGCTAGCTTTCACTGATAGCTCCCTCATGTAGTAGACACAGAGCATAGTTCTCTACTCTTGACCAGAGACGCCAGCCTGTCGGCCCTGTAATGCTATGGCCTGTACCTCACTCTCTTGTTTGTTACACTTGCAGAGGTGGCTCATGCAGGCTACACCTAAGAGTACCAAGCAGAAATGGCCTCAGGCCAAACCAGGTGTTTTTCCTGGATTTGGAGGCTTCTACATAATTTACTATTCTGTAGTGCTTAGCTGGGGATGGTTACACTCAGTAAGCATCTCCAAGTATCTGCTTTGAGTCCCATTTTCCTCTAAGACATGCAGCTTCGTTTGTAGGTTCCTGGGGTTGGCGGTTTAGGTGCAGTATGTGGAGCCCAGGGTCTGCTTCAACAGCATTGTCCTGTGTGTGTGTGTGTGTGTGTCCCCTAGAGCCCCATTTCTCAATGCCTCCTCAGAACTATTTGAGTGACAGGCCCCCTTCCTTTCCACGGGCCAGTAGCAAAACATGGCTAGCTCAGTAGTACCTGACTTCCTGGTGATCGGATTCTGAGCCTGGGCTGAGGCTCCTCTGTGTTCTTCCCTCTAAGCCACCTTAGCCTCCTACTCCACTCCTCTATGGTCTAGTTGGTTGAAATACCCCAGTTTTTGGTACCTGCCTGATGTGGTCAGGGCTGCACTTGCAGCTGGTCTCTTTTTTGAGTATCTCATCTTAAGCTTCCTTCAATATGTGGTCACGGAGCATAGCTCTGGCTATCTCTTCCCACCTTCTTCAGAGTGGAACTATGAGCTGCAGGCTGCGCCCATCCCCTGAAGCACTGGGATTCAGACAGATCCTGGATGCATGTGTCCTCTCCCTGGTTCCTTCTCTGCTGCATCCTGGCTTTTTGAACTAGGCTATTGCCTAGTTCCCCTGCCTTTGGTATCCTCTGTCCTTTCACAATGTCTAGCCTCCCTCTTGTCCTGGGATAGCCAGGTAATTCCATGCCGAGGTGTACAACAGGCCTCCACAGAGCCACAGACACGTGACCAGTGCCTATGTTCCTGACCTCCAGTTCCCGGCATCTCACAGTGGGGTCAGGATCTCCAGAGTGCTGTAGGGAACCGAGGCCTGGCTGCCATCTCTAGGCTTCCTGTAGCACTGAGCACAGTCGCAAGCTGCCACCGTGCCAGTGCTATGAGCCTACCTATGAGCATCTGGCTCCCCACTGCCCTTCCACCAGAAGTCACACAGTAGGAAAGTACCCTGTATGCTCCCTCTCTTGTCTTTCCAGTAAGAGACACTGTCTAAAGGTGAATGCTGTGGAGAACTGTGTCCATATGAAACACATCCTGAGAAATAATGCCAATTAACGTGGTGGTCCTTTCACATTTAGGATTACAGGGAAGCCAGTGGGCAGGAAGGGTTGGGAAACACAGAGCAAGACCCCTGCTTTTCTCCTTCCCAGTAACTATGGACACTTGTGGCTGACTGAAGTCACAGACCTGCCCCTCAAGTACCCGTCCTCTGTTGGGTTTGGACGTTTTCCCCTCACACTGGCTGAAAGGATGGCAGGGAAATTTGGCACCCATGAGACAAGGGAGGAGAGCTCAGTGTTCGGTCACTGTACTCAGGGCCTCATGGAAAAACTTGGCTAAGGTGTACAGCCACGTCCTCTGATGAATGAACATCCCACTGGTGGCACAGGGGCAGAGGTTGTAGCCAGGTGTGACTAGTAGGGCTTCTCTTGTTATGGGGTCCCTACCAAAAATATTAAATAAATAAAAAGAAATATGCATTTTGGTTCAGAAGCTTACACGCCACACACATTGAAGCAGCAGTTTTCACTCTGACTTCCTATCCTGTGCTTTCTAGACTGAAACCTGCAGAGCAGATCACAAGGGCCATGTACTTAACTATGACTGTGTGGTATCCTGTGGACTTGTGACATCTCCTCACCCACTCAGAGTCTCAACTGTGTTCAAGAGCAATCCTGAACTGTGTCACCTGGCCCAACCCTAAGCTGACAGGTGTTAGCCAACCAGGTCAGAGAGGGTCTTCTTTAACAGCCACCCAGACACTAGCCTCTAGGGTGGGGACAGCCTGAGAACTCCTGATGTGTTCATGTGGGCCAGCAGCTTCAGAAGACACAGAGAGCAGGTGCAGCAGGGGCCGCAGGTCTCAGCTGCCGACCCACGTGCAGCTATAGCCCAGGGATGAGATGCTCGTATGTGACGCTCAAGGCTAGTCTGAGCTCCCTGAAGGTGCAGGTAGACCTAGCAGTCCTGGGACACAGGCTCCAGCACTGAGCTCCCACCCCTGGCTGGCTCCTTCCTAGCACCTAAACAACACCCGAGGGGGCACCATCTGAGCAAGCCCTACGAAGCAAGAATCATATACACTGGGTAACAAGTACACACAGTAGGCAGACGAGCCTAGTCCAGCAGTTCTCAACCTGTGGGCTGCAACCCCTCTGGGGGTCAAATGACTGTGTCACAGGGGTCGCCTATGACTATCGGAAACTACAGAGATTTACATCATGATTCATAGCAGTAGCAAAATTACAGTAGCAGTAAAAATAATTTTATGGCTAGAGGTCACCACAACCTGAGGAACTGTATTAAAGGGTGCCTGCAGTACAGCATTAGGAAGGCTGAGAACCACTGACTTAGATACAGATTTGGAAATTCTTCAAAGGAGTTATGTGCCAGTTTTACCACATGCGTTAGTGGCACCAAGGGTTATGTGACAACTTCATCTTCATCCTAGCCTGCAGCTGTAGCAGGTCTCTGCTGGGCTCAGCTGTGCATATAAGGAGCTAGGAATGTCAACACCAGTTCATCGGGCACACGGGAAGGGGACTTACCTGGTGTTCACTCTAGCCCTCAAAAGCTTTATTTGATCACAGTCTTGAAGACTCTGCAGGCCACTGTCCCGACCCTGTCCTGCAGCACCAGTGAGGCAGTACAGAGCCCTAACCTAAGCATCATTCCTGAATGCTGAAGGCAAATGGTTGCCTAGTCCTGAGCATGCTGACACTACCCATGTTCCTAGAGAAACCTGTTCGTACTGGAGACCTGAAGAGTAACATGAAGACTGGCCACATTATCCTTGACATGACTGACACAGGAAGGGAGAACACGTTACAGCAAGCACCTCTGAGTCTTGGGCCTGCTTGGCGTCCCTTCTGCTCATCTCTTAGCCACAGTCATACCTACTACATGGGGTGGGGAACAGCTGCAGCCCAACGCCAGGTGAACTGTCCACCTAGGTGAGAGACTTGTGCCCTCCACCATCTGAGCTCTTGGCAGAAGCCTTGTGCCTGTGGTGTGGCACATTCTGCAGGGCTTTGAAGACTCCATACCTCATTTCCCAGCAGAGCAGAAACACATGCTTCAGAAGCATCACAGATGGCTGTCAGGTCATGGCCTCCCTCGAGGGCCAGCACAATTCGGCCACCAGCTAAGCCCATCAGCTGCTTTGTCAAGTACCCAAAACCTGCGGAAGGCAGAGGGACATGTGAGTGGAGCGCTCTAGAAACCCCACGTGGCACCTCCTAAACCAGGGCTGAGAAGGCATCTCAAGTAACTGAGGCCAGCTGAACATGTTCACTGGTTTGGCTTTTGGATTTCATCTTCATCCTACTGAGTGTGAATTTTGGTTTTGCACTACCTGCCTTCCTGGGTATCTGATGTGCTCTGTGCATACATATACAAGTGGAAAGGGGCATGCTTACACCAATGCTGTGTGTGGCCAGAGAGCTTTCCCACATCCGTGTGTCTGGGTATCTGCTTCCATCAAGGCTCACAGAGTCTTCTCTGTGTTCACAGGCCCCACTCGGCACATCACTTGGTAGGCATGGGGATACCATGCACAGCCAGACAGACTAACATAGGCTAGGCACTGGGAAAGCCCTAATAAACCAGAGGCTTCCACCAACCCACTCACCAGACCAGATTCAGATCTGCACGAGGCTGTACCTTGCCTGCTATGAGGAGCTCATGGGCAGAAACTGATGGCAAGCCAAGGTGTCTCTGATGGAAACACTGATACTGGCTTTGGGGCTGCAGCTTGGAATGTAGTACCTGAGACTATGATGCATGGTGGGCAATCTCTGACCACTGTCTGGACCTCACAGCAAGAGCAGTGGGCTCAGAGAGGTACTGATACCCTGAAGGCCATGTCCTGTCTCATAATCTCCTTGCTGATTCCACATGCTCCCTGGTGAAGGTGAGACAGGCCATCTCTGTGATTAGATGTGCTGATGGGAAGAGAGGAGAGAACACATCCAAGATACCTGGGCCTTGATTGAGAAAGGCACAAGAGCCAGGTTTCAGGACCCTAGGCTCCTTATAGCCTTTGGTCACCAGAGATGGGTGAGAAACAGCCAGGCCATTGTGTGACGCATGGTGTTATAGCCCGGAGGCCTTTCACATCTTTTCCATGTGCTGCAGCAGAGCAGAAGTGGGGGCCACAGACACTGCCAGCAGGTTCTTCCTTGGAGAAGTGCAGCAACTCTAGCAGAGAACAAACCTCGGCACCAAGCACACGTCAGCCAGGTAGGATGGGGGCCCCATCCTGATACTTGGAGAAGGAGCTTATGCTGACAGCATGGCTGATAGAACCTGCTGCATGTCCTGTGAACTTGATGCTCCTTTGAGTTTCTGTCCTAAGAGTAGAGATTGTGGCTTTCAACTCTCAGCCTCCTGCTACTCAGGGCTTGCTGATGGCTGTTTTAGCACAGTGTCATTCTGAATTGAGAACTATAGGTGATGTCCCTCCTACTGCCTCACACAGAACACAAACAATAGTGGGATGGCAGACATGAAGGCGGGGAAGCGAAACTCTGGCGACTTACATTTGGCAGAGAGATTGTATCCTCCAAGAGGTGTGGGGTGGCCCTCCACAGCATCGAAGCCTGATGACACCAGTACCATATCTGGGGCAAACTCATTTGCGATTGGCATGACCACCGTTCTGTAAAGGGCAAGAGAAAGCATCACTGGGTCTGTGAAGGACATGGCATGTGGTAGACAGTAGCTGTCAAATGCACTGTTTGAGCTGAATTGGAAGGGAGTCAATGGAAATGCCCCTCTGGCCTCTCCCAAACTTTAGCGTGGTTTACCAGCTCAGCTACCTTCCCCGCAACAAAAGAACACGCTTCTTAGGGCTCTGACCTAAGAAAGGCACACTAAGATGGTTACTACTGATGCCAACCCAACAAAATCTAGAACCATCTTGGATAAATTCCGCCGAGCACGCCCATAATGGATTATCTACATCAATAGCTACTGGGCTAAGGTACGGAGACCTATGTTAAATGAGGCTAACACCATTCCATGAGTCGGGGTCCTGGACTGCCAAGCAAGCTGACATCTGCTCACCTCCACACCCCTGTTCCCTGCTTCCTGACTGTAAATGCAATGTGAGCTCCTGCTTCTAGCTCCTGCTGCTGGCTTTCTGGCCATGACACCCTTGAACTGTGAGCCAAAAAAACCCCCCTCCCTTCCTTAGGCTGCCTTTGTCCCAGCAATGCAGACTAACTAGGAACTGTGTCGCTGACCAGACACAAGGGCCCTGGTGGCTTTCTGCAGCCCTGCTGAGGTGTGGTCCACAAGGGCTTCCCACCCCTCACGGTGCGCTGCGCCCATAGTCAGCGGCCATCTGTGCATGTGAGAGTCAATTAAAGAGAAGATTCCTAGAAGGGCAAAAGGGGAAACTGAAGTCACAGGTAAGAGAACTGTGTAAAACATGAATACCACTGAGTACTTCAATGGCCAAGTCACTGTACCTCTCAACACAAAACCCATCAGCCATGGCCAAGCTGGGGTGCAGGACCACAAACAGTCCTGGAACTGACCCAGGAGACGACAAGGCTTCAAGCATCCTCACAGGTTGCTTCATTAGATGAAGAATGGCTAACACCAACTTTCAGTGTCTGTCTGGGAGCCAGCAGGGACCCTGAGAGGGAGGAATTTGTTCCCGTAGCTCCAACAAGAGTGCTCTGTGCTCCTGGAGCAGATTAGGAAGGTGATTGTGTGGTCTGGTCATGGGACTGTACAGGTAGGCTGTGGACCTGCTAGGCCTTTGCGTCTTTCTGGGCTGCCTGTTCGTGAAGCCACCCCTCCTATCTGTCCAACCTAGACGACAACTGTGTCTTACAGCCTTTCTAGCACATGTGGTGGGCCTTTATAAACCGTGTGCATGCAGAAGTCCCACAGGAGGGGACAGACGCACCAGGAGATGGTTCTTCTTATTGCCATACACTCAAAGTGCCCAAACAGTGCTCAACAACTCCATTTTCTCCTTCAACCTCTCCTAGCTAGTAAAACTCCCTATCAAAATTAGCAAGAGTATCACTAAAGACACTCTGAATGTAATTGGATCAAGTCAGGAAGGATTACAGGTTGCACACTGGCTGCAAGTTCCCCTGACTTCAGGGTGGTAGAACACTGTCTGAATCGGAGCTCTCAGGGACAGCTCAGATAGGGAAAGGCAGAGTGGAGTGGTATGACCTTACATGCTACTTCAGTTAGCTTGGCTCTGTTTGGTATAGAGAAGACTATTAAACAACATACCAAGTTCAACCAGGTAACTGGAGCCTGGACATGTATTCCAAACCAAAGCTGGGCAACTATGGAGGGGTTGGGCTTCCGTTGCTCTGGATGTTGTACACAATCTAGTGTCTCCTGGAATTGTTTGTTTCAAGCTAAAGGGACTTTCCGATGCCAGTCTTCACCGTGGGGGCTTTGTGGACCACTGTTAGAGTGCAGGACACATCCAGGTAACCACAGATAAGGCCACACACTTTCTGAAAAAGTCTGGCAGGAAATCTTTCAGTCTTGAGGCCACATGGGTAAGAAAGGGTACAGATGTCTTATGATATAAAAGCATCAGGCACAAATGATGAGGAAAGATGCAAACTGGTGAATTCTACACAGGGGCTATGGCTATGATCTCTGCCGTGGACTTATTTGCATGGCTTATGTCCTGCTCTTCAGAGAAGGAGCTCAGCTTCAGACTACAGAGCTGTCATTGTGCCCTGCTGCAAAAAAAGGCATACCAGACTCATTTCATTGGTACAAAACATTTAAGCTGAGCATCTACCCAGTGCACACACTGGAATTAGCCTAGAAACCTGTCACAGTGGTCAGAAACAGGGTAGAGAATGGCATTAGCTTCTCCAGCTTCTGTGTGACTAACATCATTGCAGTGTGGGCTTTTCTCCCCAGGCCATGCTCGGCAGGCCTCTCTGAGGTCTTGGGTCTTCCCTGCAGGTGCAGGACACTGACCTGACAAGATGTCTGGACAGGGACTGTCAAAGCATCATAGCAAGATGACCACATCTTAACTAACTATTCAATGAAGATATTGTCACAGAACTCCTATCTTAACAGAATAACAGAACCTATCGGGGTTTAACAGGGATTTTAGAGCCAAGCCAATTTCTTTTCAAGTAAAACCTTGGCTGTTTGTGCCAACTGTGCCATTTGTTAAGCACTCCAGAAAGCGTATACAGTGGGCGTTGGCTCTTGGCTTTGAGGTGCAGCTGAGCTACTTATTTAAATGTAGGTTGCACCATGGCTGCCGGCTCCCCTGACTTCAGGGTAGTACCTCCTTCAAAGAAGCTCTGCTAAAACCACTGTTAAAAGGAGCTCGCACCAAGAGTACCGATGCTTATATCTGCTGTGTGTTATGGTCAAGAAGCCAACCAGAAACAAGTGTAAGCTACTACCTAAGCTGGAGCCAGAAGGCCCCACGCGGAAGCAGCGGCGGGTGTCAGCAGACGCAGTCTCTGAATGTCCCAGGCTTGTCTTCTCAGCGGACTTTGAAAATGTGCTGAAGCTGGGACAAATGGCGGTGAATGTCAAGTAGGGTCAGAGGTGCCCATATGTAATATAGCACCATAGGAATGTCTCTGCTCCTTGTTGAGACACTTATTTTTTTAAACTTTATGTATCAGCTGGGTAGTCCCTGCTGTATTGAAGATGTACCTCCAACCCACCACCCTGCAGGAAGGAATCTCAAAGAATGCTGCTATTTAACTGGTGTTGAAAGAAAATGGGACACTGAGTTCACATTTTTTACCTCCCAAAATAAATTTTGAATCATCAACCTAGTTTCTGAAACATGTCAAATATTTGCTGTGGGCTTCCCCTCCATCCTTTCGTGAGTTTGTGTATATTTGTGTCTGTTGAGATTGGGGACGGGGAGGCGAAGCTTCTCAAGAGAGCAGATCAATTTACCATCTGCTTAGAGGAAGGAGAAATGAGTCAAAATGAGCAGACCCCTAAGAAGGCTGGCAATGTGACCACAGTTCATCCCTTGCTGTGGAGAGAGAATGAGGTCCCCACAGGTACTCAGATGCACAATACAGCAGCAAGGTTGAGCGGCTGCAGGCTTCTCTGAGGGTGGCCACAGTATGCGGAATGGTCCTATGTGTGCTGTGTGTTGTGTGATAAGTGTCTCTCCCACAGCTTCAGGAACCTTCATTACCAGTATCGTTCTGGGCCCTGCTTTCACATCAACCACTCCACCTCTGCAGCTTGTGGCATGTGGGCTCTTATGCATATACACAGCACAGAGGACACAAGCCACATCTTTCTGCACTGTTGCCTGCTCGGTGAAAGTGGGACTGGTGCTCCAGGCAGGAATGCAGGCCCAAATTGTATCTCACAGAGGAACTGTTCATTGCTAGCCACATGAGAAGGCCAGTACCAGGCATATTCTAGGGATTCACAGCCACACAATCTTGTGTCTTATGAGAGGGCAGAATGGTCATGGAGGCATCTCTGAAATGCACTCTAACTGCAGTTAGTGCCTCAACAGCTAGGTTCCCACACGACAGAAGTGGTTCCCAGCTCCTGTGCTTTGGGATCCTGACAGTATCATCTGGGGAGAGCTACTGAACTCATGTCTTTAGCTCAATCCAGGCTTATGGGTGCCACATCTGGGGGCCACCAGATGTGTCTCCCCAATCCAGTCTTGTCACCACTCCAGGGGTCAATGTCAGGTAGCAAATCTACCAAGGTCCATTTTCCATCTTGATACCCTGCTTTCATGCTCCACTTTACTTGCTCACCATGGCAATCCTACCCCCAAGTCCCCTAGGCTGACAGCCCCTAATTCACGAGTTTACTTTCTCCTCAATTCTCAGTACCTCCTCCCACTTACCTATACCAGGAAAACAAAAACAAAAACCCTACCAGACTCTGTGTGGGGGCATCCTTAAGTTGTCAAAGGCTTGGGCTCATGGAAGGCTCTTTCAGCCTCAACCGGCTGGTCTGACTTTCTCTCTGATCAAGCTCCTATCTCCCAGGAGTAGGGTCCTCTTTTCTTTACACCTAGAATGTTCTGTCCCAATGCATCAAACCCATCTTTCCTGGATTACTAAACGCTAACTCTAACACGTTCTTACAAACATCCCCAGCCAGAGCATTTTCTGCTACGTACCTAACCCTGCCCTTCTGATCTCTGGACTGATGCCACTCAACCTCCTACAGGCAGGTGTTGGGGATCACGCTGCCCACATTCATATTAGTCCCAGTTCCTCTCAATGTCATGGCTTGTTGCTGTTTAACAAGGTAGTCCAGCCCTCTAGGCCTCTTTATGATTCATTAGACTTGTCCATTCTAACACACTGCCTGCTTCATCCTTAAACCAGGTCTTTTACCTGGGCCAAAGGAGAAAGGCCACTTATTATTCAGCAGGAAGAAACCCTCAACAGCCTAACAGGATCCAGGTGAACAGGCATCTTTGGGGGATGCCCTTTTCACCATAATGCTTGGCTTGGACCTCATCTGTGGAGGCTTCTGAGGCCCCCTGGTGGCTTGAGAGCTGCAAGCTTTATTCCTGGTTCCTCTCTGGGATCAGGAGAGGCTGCAGATTGACTGGACTTCCAATGCTGAGCTTTACACTTCTGATTACTGACTTCTAAAACCACCAGTACCCACTGTGTTTGCTGAAATGCTATTCAAGGAAGCAGTGGGGCACCATAATGAATTGCAACTACCTTTAAAAAGGTATGCAATTGTTTGACCAAACCTCCACACAGCAAGTGCTTATTTCTCAGACATGAAGTCGTTTAGAAGTTGGTGCCACTACAGTGTGCACATACAGGGGCCACAGGTATCTTACCACCACCATCCAAATACCTGTTTGGATAAGCCAACAACAGCAGCAGTTTGTACAATGGACTGAGGGCTCAAGGTCCACTGAAAGGCAGTTGGGGCCAGTGTCTACCCAGTGAGAAAATGAGGATGCCACTCAGAACACCAGCACTGCTGACATCTTTGTTAAGCTTCCTGATGACACATGACTCTGTCACTGCTGAGGCCTGGCACTGAGGACAGGTCTAGGAGGTTAAGGACAGCGTATCAGTCCCTGACTCCCAGGCCCTGCTGCTTGCCGGAGCTCCGCTAACTTCAAAGCTATGTCTGGCTTGAGGCCTGGTTTAAATTATAGTTTCTTTTCTCCTCCAAGTCTCTGAGCCCAAGGAGAAAGTGCCGGTCATTTCTGGATCTCATTAGGGGCAATTTTCTTATCTTTTCTTCATCAGAGGCTTGATCCCCTGAAAATGTGACCTGGCAGAAGAGGGCTCTGAAGAACAAGGTGCTGCCTTTGAGGCATGCCTTGTTCCAAGGGGGCTCTAAAGGGGTAGACTGGAGAAGAAAGGGGGAATGAGCCTCTGACCCTTCTTTCCCCACCTGATGCCCAGAGAACTATAAATTGCGAACTTCAAAGTGCTACTTTACATTAAAATAAAAAAAAAAAAAGACAACCTGAAACAATTTCCCTTTTCAAAGGAGCGATTGAAGCTTGAGAAGGTGCCCTCAATAAGGGATTATCATTCATACACTTTGCCAAACGTTAGAACAGATGTCAGGGTGACTAAGGAAGGAAGGCTCACCTCAAAGGCTGGCCCGGCAGGTCAGACACTGCAGATACCTGGGCAGGGACACCAGGGGTCAGACTCGGGGGCCCAGGACCACAGAACTGCAGGCATACTCAAGAAATGCCCCCAGTGAGCGCAATTCAGGAGGCAGGGAGCAAGGCCTGGGGGATGAGGGCCTGCCCAGTCACCCGGCTGCAAGGACTGATGCGAGTGGAGGGTGTCCATTTATTGTCATCAAGAGTACCATCTTCTTTCTGTACCAGAGCCACCATGAGGCCTTCACAGGCCCTGACCTGCAAATAGCATCCACTCAGAAATAAAGGCCACTAATTGGGCAATGGTTTCCTCTCACACCACTGGTACTTCATTTTTCCAGTGCTGAGGAGAGGACCAGGCTAGTGTGTGAATGCATGACACCCCCTGGTTCTCAGGTTCAGCTTTCATAGACTTTCCAGTGTTTGGGGAAAGTATGTAAGTGATGTGGGCACAGACATGTACAGTGGCATGTACAGACAACAGAACCAACCAAAGGGATCAGAGGAGAGTGGCAGTTCGCAGTCAGCCTGAAGCTTCTAAGGTCTGAGTGATCCCCGTCTGTACCTGGCCAACAGCTGATCAGTAGATCTTTGTAATTTAGTCAAATGAGACTTGTCACTTCTAGGAACTACTGACCAGTCCACTGACTGGTCAACTCACACCCATTGGACCCCCAACCACCTTTCCAATGGGAAGTGAGACTGGGACCACAGCTACAGGCATGGCAAGTCTATGTAAGTTTACAGACACATCTCAGTTGGTGACATATATACTTGTATACATGCACATACATGTGCTCACACCTACAGAGATCTATGTCTCAAAGGCATATATGCATACAGCAAAAGGCATACACAGGCAGGCACACGCACACGCACACATACACACAACACACACACAATAGATATATACCGAAAGCCGGGTAGAAGTACCCTGCAAGGACGAAAGACACATGTACACATGTCCACATGCACACAAGGCACATGTCTATACACATGTAATTCAGACATACAGAGGTCAGGACATGATACCAGAATTACAGAAGAGGCAGAGAAGACCCCTGGAGGTCCAATGATGCTCTCATCCACAATAAAAAAAACCATGTCCTCTGAGACTCAATAGGCCCATCCAAGCCCTGCAACCACTCCTGGGCTGTGGCTGACTTGCCTGGAGCCTCCACACTGCACAGCAACTGGGGAAAGCTGTCATGGTAAAACAAGGGAAAGCAGCAGGCCCAGCCATCCACTGTTGGCTGCAGGAATGGCTTTACTCTGGCCTGATGGAAATAAAAAGAATTACGGATGACAGAAGTCAATGCTTTTTAAAAAGCAGCCACCCTGCAGCCAGTCTAAGGGACCACAGCAGCACAAATGATGAAGTGACTCTTGCCTGATTTTCCTAAGAATAAAGGGAATATTTCTCCTTTATTCATTTCCACTTTCTCTCACTTCACAAAGGGTTTGTGGAAGAATGAGCAGGAAATGGGATCTCTGAGATTTACATCTTCAGTTTCCAGTGACTCAGGAAACACTTTCCAGCATAGCAGAAGTTCTTCCTCCTTTTTCCTATCACCTCCCATCTTAACCACTGGGACTCAAAGAGGCTCACACAAGAAGGGAGCTGGTAACAGAAGTGAGGCAGTACAAAGATCAACCCGAGGTCTCCAGCCTGCTCCGCTGCTCCTGTACTCAAAAGGACCAGTCTCTCTGGCTGGACAATGGGGTACTCACCTGAAGGCTGCCAGGTACTCTGCATCTCCCATGGGGGGGTCGAGGCCACCCGTGAAAGCCATGTTGACATTGAAACCCACGCCTGGCCCTGTGCCCACCTGTGGCCACAAGGAGAAAAACTGTTGTCACCGACCCTATGAAAAGAAGACCTGGCACAAATGACTCTTGAACTAGGGTGTGCTGAGCTGGCATGCCTATAGGGATAGCCATGGGTCCTGTGGATTTGTGGATGTGCTCACCAGTGAAGCTGGACACCTCAGTGCCAGGCACTGATGTCACTGGAGCAGTTGTGACAGGACTGCAGCTGCTCATAGGCCATGAACTAGGAGGAACTTCTGAGAGACATTCCTGAAGACTGTCATGTGTGCACAAGAGTCTCTGTATTGTGGGGCCATCTTCAGAAGACAGGTTCTGTGTTCCTGGGTCTACCAGATAGTACCAGATGCCAAAAGGACAGAGAGGGACACGGGAATGCTACCTAAGGATGCACAAGGTACAGAGAAACATCCAAAGGAGCAGCACAGCAGCCTCCCTTGTGCGTATGTTTCACTTGCCCTGAATGGAACCAGAAATGATGTGTAGGTCCTCATCGTACACGAGACAAAATTCTGGCTCAAGTCACACACAGCATAATCCAGGCTAGCATTTTCTGGAAGGGCAGTCGGAGCTAAAACAAGTGTGAGATGCACCTTCTGTGGCAGGCAGTGTGGCCTGCGCCACAGATAGCTACAGTAACCTGGCTCTAAGCTGGCGTCCCTCAAAGCTTCCCCCAAAGTTTTATACATTCCACATACCTCATCTGGTGCTCCACTGCCTGGAAAGAAGTTCCCATCGTCATAGCGGTGTAGGGACATGTAGAGAACATTGGGGTCATTGTAGAAGGCCTGCTGGGTCCCATTCCCATGGTGCACATCCTGAGAGACCAAGAGAACTGGCTCAGGGAGGACAAGGCCTCGAAGATGGTCCTCACCAGCCAACTGTGCCCTGTACCCTGGGGTAGCAGCTCCTGCTTGGCGAACACTCAAGAATCTTCAGCTTTTATCCTCTATAGGGTCACCTGTGCTCGATGTAGGATGTGGGTGCCCAGGCACTCACAAGCAAAGTGTCCCTCACCCCATCCATCAGGCTCCCGAGGGAGGAGGAGCCACGGGCAACACTGTGTAGAGTGAGTACACGGTGCAGTGAGTGAGTCACAGAGGTGTCAGATGTGCTGCCATCATGCAGTTTAATACATGTGCGGCCCTGGGGAGCGTGCCCCAGCCCTGGGAAGAGAAGACTCTGTCTGTGCGCCCCCGGCTCAATCAGCTGTTGCCAGAACATCACTGTCCTGTCTATGTTGCCACCAAACGCAGAGCACTTTTGTCTTTGCCCACATCTCTGTTTGTTCCCCAAGGAAGGGCCAGGTTGCGGGAGGGACAGGCTCTCTGGTTTGTAGAAAACTGCACTGCCTTCCCTGCCTCGCTCAGGTCCTGTTCTGTATCCAAGAGGGGACTTGGCTCCTGGTTTATATTTTATTGCTTCTTTCTGAAATGAAGAAGGGCTTGAAATCCAAATGATATCCCCACCTGATGTAGGCTTAGTCATGTATGTTATGAGACATCAGTACTAAAGTGGTTCTAAGAGTTAGAACTACTGGCTTCATACAGTTCTTGAGAATACTCATCTTGTTCTGGGACCACTTCCCACAGTCAGGACTGGGATGATCCAGGCATGGCAGAAGCCCAGGCTGCCTCTGCTCCTGCTGCTTGGAGCTCACACACCCAGGCACTGTGACTAAGGGGCACTGACACGCACAGCCCGACACCTGTCTACTCTTGGAACAGGGTGGTGCTTTTTAAGTTAGGCTTAACTCTCAGAGAAGAATCGCCATTCCATACGGGGGTTGTAAGAAGCTGCACTCATTCAGGAAGATGGAAGCTCAGTCATGTGTGTGAAGTAAGGTTCAGCTAGCTCAAGTGGGTGGCCCAGGCCCATGTCCCCAGGTCAAGGCTGAACATGACCTTCAATCCTCCAGCCTCCTGAGACACTGCTGAAGACTAGCTATGGTGGCTTCCCTTACTGTGGGCACTATCCTGGAAGCTCAGAGACCATGACTGGCAGGATTAGCTGGCCCAAGTCTTGAAGACAACTTCTAATGGTGCAGTGTTTACTTCTCTGATCTCTGAGACTGTTTCCAGAAAGTTCAGCTCCCGATTCCAAGTGCCAATTGAGGTGAAGGCCCATGCTCAGTCAGGCTGTCAGCTGGGGAAACAGGTGGACATCCATGTTCTTCCCAGGCCTCCTGGGAAGGCAACCACTCACCCAGTCCACAATGAGAATCTTGCTCACATTCAGCCTCTGCTGGAGAAGTTTGGCTGCAATGGCCACGGAGTTAAAGTAGCAGAACCCCCTGCAGAGGAGATGCCTAGTTACTGTTTTTACATGATGCACAGCAGAGTGTCTACAGAGACCTATGCGATTCTGAAGAGCTCAGGTGAAGACCAGCTGGTTCTTCTGGGGCCCTCAGCTGATGCTGGTGGTTGACTAACAGACAGGAAAACAGACTATCGGCACACGAGCCACACTACATATGCCATAGAGTCACAGGCACGTAAGCACATGTGCCACATAAGACCCGCCCATCAGACACACATACCACCCTCCAGATAGGCACTACATACTGATGTGTGTGCTCACACACCACAGAAGACATCCACCCACCACATACAACACCCCCTCCAGATATACACACAGGCACGCCTAAGTATATATGCCGTAAGACACCCACTTACAGACATAAAGAACACACAGGTATACACAAACACACATGCAAACATCACAAATATACAGACATGTACACACATCAGATAAACACATACATGCACATACACTGAAGATACGCACAGACACTGTTAATGGTTAATTTGACAGGACCTAGAATCATCTAGGAGATAGCTATTTGGGATTCTGTAAGTGGGTCAGCCTCTGGGCAAGGCTCTGAAGTCTATATTGCTTAGGTTAGAAAGGGGGTAAAACCCATCAAATACGTGAATGGTACTATTCCCGTGGACCAGAGACCGGATCCATTCCCACATACGTCGCTGGCACAGCTTCCCAGGTATTGTACTCATTTCTATCACTTAAACTGTCTCTTTATTAAACCCAACAAGGAAGCCAACAAGCCTCAGTGTTCACATTTCTCATGCAACTGCATGAGGAATTATCCCTCAAATCATACATCTACCCTGGCTGTGGGCAAGGGAGACACAGTGACCCGCCCCAGGTGATGTTCACAAGGCCACTCTGCTCCTCCTGGGCGCCTAGATGGTCACCCCGCCCTGGCGCCCATGCTATTTATCAGCGTGTCCACTTACATGGGTGTGCTCTCCTCAGCATGGTGTCCTGGGGGACGGACCACAGCAAAGCCATTCTGCAGATGATAGCAGACAGTAGAAAATAGTGAGGGAAGATATTTCTTATCCACAAGAAAGTCATTACAAACACCAGTCATCAGACTCAGAATCCATAGGAGGATGTGGTTCCCACTGCTACTGGTCCCATGACATGGATGGGGAATGGTATTAGCTGAGCCTTGCCTAAAGGAAATGTGGCTCCATTTTAAAGGAGTCAGTCAGACAGCCTGACCTGGGGACAGACAGTAGACCCTCTGGTTCTGTTGCCAAGTACCTATGGGTTAGGGCTGCAGCCACTGGAAAGAGTGTGGGCTAGGGTATGGGGATGGTCTTGTTGCCTGCTGCTCACTAGCAGCCTTGTGGCAGCCATGGATACAGAGAAAAAAGAAAGATGGGTGTGGTAGTGCATGCTGTAACCCCAGGAGGAAGATCAGGAGCTTTGAGGCTAGTCTCAGCTACACTGTGAGCTGGAGGCTAGTTTGGCTAAATGAGAACTTGTTTTCCCAACCCCTAAAAAAAAAAAAAAAATAAAGAGTACTCATATAGGCTGCTTCTGGGTCCATGTCATGCCTTGAGCTGGTCTTGGGCCAACTGAAGCTTAGTTATAGGGGAACAGAAAGCACACGGAGCACTCAAGGCTACTCCCACCCAGAAGAACCACTACAGAGCTGGCACTGTTTAGCATGGCTGCTCAGCCTACTCCCCATCACTCACACTTTACAGAACCATCTGCACACCACTGGGCTGCTGCTGTAAAAACACTCAAGCAAGCCTCTGACTCTCATCATCACCAGGAAGTGGTCAAGAATTAACTGAGCACGAAAAGGTTAGCCAACTATTAATGAGGGTGCTGGGTTGGTGAACGGACTACTTAGTTCAGGGGTAGGCAGTGGTAAGGCTAAGAGGTAGATCCACAAGACAAGTGGCAGCCCCTGATACTCAGCACTGAATGAAAACTTACTTCTCATTCTCTGTGCTGTCTTGGGCACCGGCTTCAGGGGTCTCAGACTCGCCTGCCTTTTGCACTGGGCTGACAACTGTGTGGATGGTGCTGAGCAGCTAAGCATGGCATGAAGACACACCAGCCCCCACAACGAGCACAAATGAACTCCCAAGGGGACAATTCCCCACGAACATCCTCACAAAGAGCTTGAACAATCTATACAGGGCCACTCTATCAACACACCATGGTGAATACGGAAGAAGGAAGACAAGGTCGTGGTGGTTCTGAGAGAGGCCGTGTACGGGCTAGCACCAGGAAGCCTTACTGTATATGTCACTGTGAGCTGAGCCATACCCTCTTCTACCACGGATACCCATTTTCCTTGTAATGACAAGAGTATTACAGGCCTTCCAACTTGCGGACGTCGCAAGCTGACAAGGCTTTTCACTCCTCGGAACAAGGTGGGCAGGAGCTGCCAGTGATAGCACTTCGACTTCATAATTGCCTGTCCCTATGCACATGGCAGTGATCCTGGCTTAGGAAGACATTTTTTATGACATGAGTGGTAGTATTATGGGTTAAAAAAAAAATGATCTGCTAGGGTTAGGTGTGCCGGGACCTGGGGCCTTGGCTTTCCTACTGCTGTCTGGCTCAGTGAACAGCTTGTAGGTGAGGCAACTACATAACAAGCGGGAGACGGCAGCGTCCACACTGCACTGGTCCTGCAAGATCTGCCACGTGCCAACCCTGGCACAGGCAGAGAAGTTACCCAGCTTCCCACAATGACCACAAAATACTTGCTTTTCAGCACTGTCTTACACAAGGCTAGTGTCTATCCGCCAGTTTCACATTATTAGTTTTTTTGTTTCATTTTTTGAGACAGGATTTTTCTGTGTAGCTTTGGCTGTCCTGGACTCACTTTGTAGACCAGGCTGGCCTCAGACATCACAGAGATGCCTCCTCAAGTGCTGGGATTACAGGCATGCACTACCACACCCGGCTGGTTTCACACTGTTGTAAGGCAGGTGTGACTCCAGCTGCCATGTACGATGCCAGATGCTGTTGTTCCTTGAGCATGAATGCTCTGAAAACATCTCACTTTAATTTCAATACAGCTGATACTGAAGAGACGGGCTACAGGAACAAAGGCTTGCTAGGCCCCTCAGCAACTGAAAGGGGTAAAGGGTTACACATCCACTGCAGAATGTGAACTACACATTTGTTCCCGAATGGGAGTGTTCACATAACCCTGGACAGGAGCTTCCTTGCACCGATCCTGTCCAGCCCCCACCAGAGGGGAAGGGCAATGGGCTGACTGACCTTTAGCTCTCCTGTGGCCACCTTGAAGACCAGCTCCACCACGCAGCCTACCGCCAGGCGGGCTGCCCCAGACGAGTGCACCTCGTTCCATATGGTGTCACTATCCACCTGTGGAAACAAGGCTTCTCAGTGAGCTATGTCCGTATCACTGTCGCTCACCACACATTTCTTTAGGAGATGTGCCCAAACCGTACACAGAAATAAAAGCAAGTGACCATCCATCCCCTCTGCGATATCCTTCTCCTTTCACTTGCTCCAACAGACCTGGAGCTGGCAGTAAGGATTCTAGGCCACTCACTTCCTTACTTTTTACACTGGAATTGAAACTAAGAGTTATATTAAGGAGTAGAAAATGAAATGGAACAGAAACTACAATGAGTGGCTCTATTCTGTGCTGTATTTAACTGCAAGCTCTTACTATGGGCTGAGAGTGGTTAAGTGGAATGAGGGCATGAGGCATAGGAAAGAGCTACCAGGGTTGTCTTGGGTGGCCTGTTAGCTTCCACTTCAAACAGCAGGCAAGGCCAACCAGCTGTGTACTTACTGGCTTGGGCAAAGGGAACACACTGCAATTTTTGAAAAATTGAGTGTGTGTGTACACGTACATGGGTATGCAAACATTAAAATGCATTTTTGTGGAGGTCAGAGGTCAACTTGTAGGTGTCAGTTCCCTCCTTTCACTAATCAGTCTCGGGGCTTGATCTTGGGCTGTGATGCTTGGAAGCAAGTGTCCTTACCTGCAGAGCCATCCTGCTGGCCCAGTAGAATGCTTTTTAAGGTCTGGTCTTTGGGGAACAAGACAAGACATTCTCACTTCTGGGTCTACAGGGAAGCCCAAGACAGGAGCCTAGGCAGGGATCAGAGTGCTGTAATACCAGGGCACAGGAACAACCGCCTGCACATGTGCCCCGTGAGGCCACTTGGGGCTTGGGCCAGATACTCGGAGATTTAGGCCCTTGCCAGAAAGTGGTGGCCTAGGAGAGTGGGGTGGGGCTACTTGACTAACAGCTGTTTAACGTCTTAGATCTGAGGGTTGCCAGATCCTCACATACACCACCTCTTAGCACTCCAAGAAGCTGGGAATTCAGACCTACAACCATCTCTCTATCTCTAGCCTGGGCCTTCAACACCATCTGCTAAGTGACAGATATTGATCAGTGAGGAGGAGCAACTCTTTCCAGCTTTTCCACAAGCCTCACTCTCAGAGACAGATGATTTAAAATTCTTTATATGGTGAGGACACTGCTTACGGGGTACTTAGCATGGGCTATGTCCTTCAAATGGCTCCCGAATGTCAAAGGACTGCCCGCTGGGAGGCACTGCCACTCTTCAAAGCTGAGACACTGGCTGTGTTCCTATGCAAACCAGTTTTGCCTGGAGAATCAAATCATTACTATTGGAACATTACAATATGAAAGGTGACAGAGCAGAAGACACTCCTCCAGCTGCTTTCTGACCTCCAGGGGGCAGCAGTGCCCAGGGTAGCCCAGGCCAGGCCAGAGGCTACATGCTCAGTGATTAGTTCCTTCTCAAGTGTTGGAGAGAGGCTAGCTTTATTAAAGAGCCTAGCTAAGACATGGGGAAGGAACTACGCATGACATCTGCCCACATTTGGCTACTCTTCCAGGACTTTCTGTAGACTGTACTCTCTGAGCATCATAAGTAAAGTCTGTAGCCTGGACAATTCCCCTTCTGCACGGAGAATAAACCTTTGGACAATTCCCACTCCAGGATCCCAGGCTACTAAGACCTGACAAGACTTTTCTGCTGTTTTGTTCCTATTTCTGTTCACCAGCTGCTTCCTTGGAAGTGATACTGAGAGACAGCCCTGTTCGGTCAGGATGGTGATGCTAATGTGGAATAGGAACTATAGAAAAGTGCTTTATAGGAAGTACAGATATGGGTGGAAGGGAAACACTGAAGCATTTGGGAAATGAAACTGAGTACCAACAATGGAGCATGGCACAGGCAAAACTGGGTGAGCCCTGGTAAACCGGGGCTCAATCTGCAGGAGGGAGGAGGTACAAGACAGCAGAGTTCAGACCACACCTTCAGGCAGGGTTCAGGCAGGAGCAGAGATAGTCAAGAACACAGGTCCTCACTAGCTTGAAATTCACATAATGAGGTGAACAAAACAGAAGTGTTTTTATTTGGTTTGGGGGAGAAAAAAGATCAAAACTATTTCAAACTTTTATTTATCAGATGTAAGAAAGATTGAGTTTTAAACTCTGAACGAGCTATTACATGAGACGGCAATGGAAAGCTGCTTCCAGGGATAGAGGGGCCTTGACCTTGGTGTCTGTGCCTCATCCTACACAGGCCTCAGTTCTCCCACAGCATCTGCATTGCTCTTTCTGACACCCCAGTGGGTGGGTGGAAGGAAAACTGAGTCCATGGCAGTATTGTGGGCCCAAGAGTCCACTCAATCCAGAGCCTAGTCCAGGCTGTTTTGCTGCTTCGGGCCTACATAAGAGACTGAAGATCCTAACTCCCATCTTCAGGCTGGGTCCCATGGACTCCACTCACACCTGTGCATTGTATCTGCACTCATCTGGCAGCATGGCTGCTACACCTAAGATCTGGGGTTGGTTGTGCAGGAGTCTGCCTGTCTTCGACCCCCAGGTCTGAGCTTGCGTTTAGTTTTCATTTGCAAATTATAAATGCTGTCTAGCACAGGACCCTCTGGCTGCAGGGAAGTGCAAATCCAAATCTTTTCAAGTTGGGCCAAAAATTTGCCCCGAATTAAGAGATTGCAGCCTATTTACAATACAAAACAAAATAACTCCAGGAGGGCTTGGTGGTAGTATGAATAGATGCCATCGATTCTCTTTCTGACGGGCAATTTTCAAAGCAGCGATTTCTGTAAAGACTCAGGAAGAAAACAATTTTGTTTCATTTCCATAACAGAATCCAGATCTCAGCTTCACCCTACGATCTGTGATCAAACACGGCACAGGTTTGGCTAGGACAACTCTGGCCATGTGCTGGCCCAGCATGGTACAGTGAGACTCTGAGGGTCAGAAGATCAGATGGGAGGCTTAGTCCCACTCTTTCATGCCAGAGGCGGGAGTAGAGCAGAACTGGTCTGGCAGCAGAGGCTATGCATGCGCTAGATACCCTGACAGCCAGTCCTTTGCCACATGTATGTCTTAGTCTGTTCCCCAAGTGACTAGCTGCTCATATCACCTCATCACAGAAAAGCAAGGCCACCCACCGCCAACCAGAGACTGTGTCACAACTGTCACCTGATCCATTAACGTCCTGGTCATTGCGCAGAAAACTCTGTCTGGAGAACAAGTTAGAAAGTGGCACAGAAGGGCCCACTCTGCCCTAAGAGGCCTCTGTGAACAGAGCTCAGTGCTGCTGTGGAGGCAGGCCATGAGGCATAGTCTACACAAGAGGCGCACAAGAGCTGTGGCTGATCAAGGCTCCAGATGCAATTTCAGACAACCTTCCCCAAAGAAAGGTGCCTGAGTTTGGTGGAAAAAAAAAAAAAATGCTCCCAGCTCTCAGTTCCTTTGAAGCCCCACATGGCCCCACTCGCCCCATAGTACTGTTTATGGAAAACACCTGGCAGCCATTACCCACTCAAGAGAGCAAGGCAATGATTTCTGTGACCACTGGGGCTCTGAGAACAAACAGGACATTATTTACACATTAAAGCAATACTTACCCCAACACCACCACAAGGAAGCCTGACAAACACGGAGGTCAGTGAGCCTGTGGGAAGAAGACAGTGTCAGAAGATCAGGGTGGCACTGGCTCTGTGAGTGCCCTGTTCATACAGTGTGCTGGGGACCCCAGGACAAGACAGGTTCTCACAGCCTCACTGGCTCCACTGTAAGGCTCTATCACCAGGCAGCAAGTGCAAGGAGAATGGCTCTGCCAAAGTCTGAGAGGAAGCAGGTTTTCACGGTTAGGCACCACAGGAGGTGGGAATGGGCCTCCCAGGAGTTGGCATAGTCCTGCGTAATCCAGACATCATGATGCTGTCCATAAATCCTGTGGCAGGGGAGCTTCCTTGTATCTGATAGTGTTCCTATTATAGCACAGAACCTCTTCCATTGAGAGCTGGCAGATTGGGGGGTTAGGAGAGGCTGGCTGTGTCTACATGTCTGGCTGGAGTTCCAAGCATGAATCTAAGTAAACCAGCCCATTCCTGGCCTGCACCCAAGGGCACTGAACCACTACGGGTAATGAAGAATAAGGCCATCCCTGCATATTTCCTGCCACTATCAGCCCTCAAATTCATACTGAGGCAACAGCACTGTTGTGGCTCTCTATCTTCCTGATGTTTCTTGAAGGCTAGGATGTTTGGCTCCTACTTGGGCCAGCTTCTTACTCCCCTGGCCCCCTGCCTCACGTGGCTAAGTACCCACAGCTCAGGTCCAAGGCTTGGTCTTTATTTGCATATAAAAATATGGGAAGCAGAACAGGGCATTAAATGCATTTTTCCTTCAGTGACAGGTGAGCAGCAAGTAAAAATGCTCTAAAGTCTGTAAACACAGGTTCTTGTAGCACAGGGGAACTTCAAGTCAGTAATAGGTGGCCATGTAGGGGAGCTGTGCCGGGAAGTACCATGTCAAGCTAGTGTCTTAAATGGTGTTCGTCCTTTCCAGAAAGGAAAGCACAGGGAATAGGCAGGCTGGGAAAGTCTGGGCCTTTGCAACAAGGCTGGGAAGGAGGAGGGGTGTGGGCTACAAGCTGCACCCTCCCTGCTCACTGCATACTCCCCAACTGCAGTCATTATGGCTCTGTATCACAGACTGAAGCCACAGCACAAGGCATTTGGCCTCTAAAGCCAGGGGCCAGGCAGGCATGGAGTGACTGTGGAACAGTGCTTTTGCTACCACTCCACACCCCGACAAAGGAACAGCAGTGCTATGACATGTAGAGTTCCTTTGCCCAGGAACCTTCCTTCAGGAAATGCACAATGATTATGTGGCAGCCAGGGCTATGAGAGTGCATTTCCCTTTGAAATTACAGCCAACACTGTGTACGTTACAGATGTCAATCACTGTAGTATTTTCATGCTCATTATTCAGCCAGCAAAAAAGCAAAGAGGAACTTCATCATCTGTTAAGCACAGAAAGCACACGAGTAGGAAGCAGGGCATCATGTTCACAACAAGGAAGAGCTCTGCTGTCCATCGCCAGCTTGTACCGAAGGGTTCCTGCTCTAGACTGAGTACCTTTCACCCCAGCTTAGGCCACAGCTTAGTTCTAGCCATTAGTGGTTTGGGGTCACAACCATTTCAATTAGGCTGCAAAACATGCCAGAGGTCTAGTCTTAAGGATTACGACCTCTGGTCTACTGATAGAACATGGCTGGCTGATATTTTAGGGTATGGATGGGGTAGGAATGACATGAGAGCCAACCTTTTAGAGGTCTGCCTTGCCAGCTTTATAGTCACTTCAAGCCAGCCTCTCTTCTTCAGCACTGCTCTTGGGTGCCTCCTTGCTTCTAGGGATGGTATCTGACTCATCGCACCTGCCATTCACATGAGTTCCAGGTGGAATGGCACACCAGTGAAGCACTACAAAGGGTCTTTGTGCATGGTGGAGAAATGTATGGAGTAGATTGAAAAAAAAAAACAACAAGAAAATCACAGCAGTGATCTAATTAGGGCTACTTTAACAGAACTTGGGATAACTGCTATTACTATGTCTCAAATCCTTAGGTCAAGGACATTTGTGAAGGTCCGTGGTGAGGACTTGGTAGATACTTAAAGATCAGTCTTGAGGGTTTGCTGGTGAGGGACTAGTGCAAAGCTCAGCAGGAAAGAAAAGGACTCCAAGCGAGCAGCTCAGATGGGTAGCGCGTGCATACAACAACACAGGGCATAGCGATACAGTCACTGGCATGGCTGCTGGGGCATGGGGATGGGCACAGGGCGTGGGGAAAATGTTCTAACAAAGAAACACAGGCAGAAATGGGCTTCAGTAGAGTAGTGCTGGATACAAGTGGAGGACTAGTGCTAAGTGACCGATGGGCAGTGAGTATTTGTGTCCTAAACCTTGCACGCAGATATTTCTGTTTCACGGGGCACACATCTAGTTCAAGTCTTCTGTTTTGATAACCTGGTTTGAAACTAGCTTAAAACTCAGAAAATGCTCCTGTTGGTAACTTTGGTGGATCAAGGCTGGGATGGCTGAGGAAACGTGTTTAGGAGAGCACGAGCACTTGTCTAGGTGACCCCTGTCTGTGTCTGGAAGATGGGACCTGTTCGTCAACACTCCAACTGAGGAAGTCCCACTGTGGACAAAGGCCCTGCCTCATTCTGGGATCGACATGCTGCATTTCCTGTCTGAAGGGCAACCCTAGAGCCAAGAGGCACACTTGTAGGACAATGGGTTGTAGAGGGCTAATCTGAAGGCATGGCCTGAAGAGTAAGAAAGTCCCAGAAGAACCACAGTGGCCCTGCATCCACCCTGGGTCAGTAACAGACAGCATCTGGACCACACAGCCCCAGGCTATTCTGACTGGTTTCCCATAGGGCTACAGGATTGTCCTCTGGACCACATTATGAGAATTGCCTCTGGGATAAGCCTCTTGGCTGCCTGGCAGCATTGCTCAGTGGTTGAAAACAAACACTGAGGAATGGAACTCCTGGGCTGCAAATGCTCTGTTCCTCCTGTTTGACTGGCAGCCCGGCTGGGTAATAGTGACAGGAAGGAAAGCAGAGAATGCCCTAGCTCTTTGTGGAGCTTTTTGTGTGGCATTTCCTACTTTTCAGGTGCTGGTTGCCGTGGTCTTCTTAACCCTGAAATTCTAGCATAAAATCCATCCCAGCCTCACCTCATCCTTGTATTAACACTAAGATCAGGCACCACAACAGACCTTGGTCCTTTCCTTCCAGTTAGCCTTTTGTTCCATTTTCAGGAGATTGCCTCAGCTTGTCTTCCAGCCCAGGAACTTTCTCCTCTGGTGATTATGCTTTGAATCTTCACATTCTCTCAACATCTTCCTTCACTACTGCTTTTGCTTACAGTATCTTCTCTCTTCAAGGACACTGATTACAGACAGCCTCAATCTCTAGCTGCTTGGCAAGCACTGTCCTGTCTATTCCTGACCTGGTATGGAGTCCATGCTGGCAGCTTAGGATGGGCAGTGTGGCTCTGTGTGAGCCCAGCCACAGTTCTGAGGGCACTACTTGCTGGAAACTGTCATTGTCAGTGCTCTTTGGACTGGATAAGTTCCTGCAGAGGAGTCATCTATCTTTTGATTGAGGGTAAAGGTGAGCACACAAAGGACCCATTAGGGGAGTGTGGGAAGGAGATGGGCTTAATGCAGCCCAAGATTGGTTCCCATTGTGGGACCATGACCTGAAGTCCGAGTCCCACGGTAGAGACCACCAGCCCTGCCTCTGTCCTTCTCTCTACCGTCTATAGTCCTGGGTTACTGCAAAAATCACTCTGAGCTGTTGGGGTCTATGGAGTAAGCCAAGTAGATAATATGGGGTGTACTCAGAGATTACACAGAACCCTACAGTTTGTCAAGGCCTACTTTTACTGGATAAAGACCCTTGAGGTGAGGCACAGTAAGTCTTTGCTAGCCAGAACCTGCCCAGAGTGGGGTTGACCAGCAGGTCCAAGACACAGCTCCCTAGTCTGCAACCAATGGCCTCATTGTGACCAGGCCTGGGACTCTCCAGGGCTCCTCTCAGCCTTCCCCAAAGAAGTCCTCGAAAGGAACTGAAGACAGAGCAAGGGCTTGGCATTCTTGGGCTTAAGCAATCCTTAACAGCTTCCAGAAATGACGGTGGCTCCATGCTTCTCTGCACCCATGGCCTTAGCAGGAGAAAACCTTCCTGTCAGCCACATTAGTGGTTCCAGCTGTAGGAGCCAAGGGCTGGAAACATCACTTGCAGGAGATCAAACCTGGTAGGGATGTAAGGAAGGTCTCGAGTACCTAGAAGTTTCTTACTGTCCAGTTTCTGTCTGTTGAGAGGGTTTGTGCCGTAGAGGAGTGTGTGGCCCTCTGAGTGTACTGTCTGCAGCTCTTCCAATGTGGCCTTGCGTCCGCGGATGCACTGTGGGGACACAAGGTGAGACCATACTTCTGCATCAGCTCAATCTCTATTCAGCAAGGCCATGTAGTTCGAATATGGGGATGGGCATATGACTATTGCATTACTGAAAGTCAGAAACAAAGAAGCATGCAACACAGTATTTAAAAATGTTTTAGGTGACTTACATTTTAACCATAGCCTTGAAAAACATTAAAAATGATAATTCTAGTTTTCAGCATGATACCCTTTTCTGTCATACAAATGATTTTCAAAAAATTATTACTTTGCTTTCTGAAACCAGGGTCTGGGCTTAAAATGGCAGGAAGTGTCAGAGGTGAGGGGAGCTGCCCGAGCTCATTCTCAAGGGGACTCCAGCCACAGCTCCTAGTGTCTCCTCAACACCAGCTCTCTGCGGCCCCCCTGCGCACGGCTGACACACTTGCACTGCACACATTGCACTGGGGGGCGACTGGAGCCCTGTGTTCTCATGCCTCCGCACAGGCACTAAGGAAGGCGAGCTGGTCGTCCTGCTTTCTCAGTTACTTGCACTCTCAGCCCTGCCTGACTCTAACTGCTTTCCCGCCTGAGAATCTGCCTCACAGTCCCTGCCTGAATATACTTTCCTGGGAGAGGACAAGACATTAGTGAATGCTGGCAACTGAAGGATGTCTCAGGGCAGCATCTGGATGCACAGGATGGCTGGTTCATCCTGCAAGGCCAGCTAGAACAAGAGAGGACAGAGGTTTTTTTGCCTTTTGGTTTGTGTACACTGGCCAATGCTGCCCCCCAGTGGTAAAGCAGTCAGGATAGATTTCCAAAGCAGGTGCCTGTGGTTTCGCCTCCCGAGCCCTGTTCATCACCACCCACCCAGAGGACCTTCAGGAGTGGGTGTGGATCTGATTTGGGACATCCCCAAAAGCAAGGTACAAGAAGAGTGGTAAGGGACACATGTGATCCCTGGGCTGACCTAAGCTCTGAATTCTCCAGTGCATCAGGAGGGCAGTGGGCACACAGAGAGGAAACAGAAATAACTGTGCTGTTCCATGAGGAACTTACTATTGAGACACTTGTGCCTGAAGCTATGCTGATGTGCAGGACAACTTGAGGGACAGATGGAGGGTATCCCAGTTGAGGTTCCCCTGGCAGGTACTGCGGGCAATCCTGGGAGTGGATAATGCCAGCCCTAGGGCAAAGATGGGGAGAGAAGGCCCGCCCAAGACAGCTCCCAGGCCCGGGGTCCTTGTTGCTGTGCCTGCCCTACAGAAATCCATCCTTCCTCCTCAGAGCTTAGGACTCCTGAGTGCACAGGGCCTGGACACAGCACACCTACTGTGTCATGGGGGAGAACAAGGAAAGGCTCAACGTGATCTTGGACAGGTGTGGGATGAACACTGGAATCCACTGGCAGGTAGGCCAGCCCTCCTGAGAACAAGCATGGCAGCTGGGAAAACTGAGGACCAGTACCTAGAGAGACAGCCCTCCCGGAGCCTTTCTACATAGTTCCTTGGGTAAGGGCCTGGCATAAAGGAAGCAGAGGCACAGCTAACCAGGCTGGGGGGCACTTTCCATGCTGGCCACTGCCTCAGAGAACCTGCCAAGTGAGGAAAAAAAGGCCCAGAGTTCTCCACACACCCTCAGAGCAGCTTTCTGATATGTTATAGCAGGAAAACACAGTCTTAATGAAGCTGATAGGCCTGATGGGACATGTGGGCTGATCTTCCCTCTGCGTCTTGGATCCTCTCCTCACTGTATAAGTATGGATGCCCATACTGGTCAGCCACAGAGAGCATGCTGCGAAGTAACTAGGAAGAAGACAGGGGAGTGAGCCTGACACTTTGGGTTTGAGGAGCACAGCACACTGGTGGCAGCTTCTGTAGAAGACGGAGAATTAGGGAAGCAGTTTGGACTCTGTCACAGGAAGCAGGCAGTATGCCTTCAAGGGCTCATGGACAGGAAGCTATATGACCAACATGGTAGTGCTGGCACTGTGGGTTCTGCAAGAGGTGGGTCTGGTAGAAGGTGACTGGGAAATGAGGACTTCACCGTTAGAAGTTATTATGGTTCAAACCTATGTGACTAACCTAGTTCTCAAATGAACAGGCTATCACAGAGAAAGGCCAGCTCACACAGCAAGCAGTCTCTTTTATACGTCTCTGTTATGTTGTGGCTTAGCCAGGGGATTATCATCAAATGTTGGTACCTTGGTTTGGACCCTCCAGCTGCCAGAACTGTGTGAGGTGGTAAACAGACCCCTTTGCTTTATAAGGTACAAGCCTCAGATATTCTACCATAGTAACAAAAAAGATGCCAAGGTGAGCTTCTCAAAAGCTCATAGACAATCTGGATGAACCTTCTCCATTGCTACAACATGAATACAGACTGGCAGAGACCATGAATACAGCAGGCCAGAGGCCATGTTTGGGAGTAAGCAAGACAGGAGTTCCTCTGTCCCCGTAGAGCCCATACCTCACACTTGCCACGGAGGCCAGTCTCCTGCAGGCGGGACCAGATGCTCTGGATCCTCCCAGCATGCTCCGGATGGCTGTTGGTATTCCCACAGGTGCACTGATGCTTCAACATCAGCGTGTCATACACAAGGCCTGCAGTGGAGCAGAGCTGAAGTCAGAGTAGTGCCCAGGGCTGAGCCAGCCAATGCCATAACATGGCCTTGGTGACAGCAGCAGAATTCCAGGAGGGAACAGAGCGGAGCTGGTTCTTGGTTCAAGTTCACCCTATTCCCTTTCCAGGCTGGTACTAAAGGGTCTGGATAAAAACAGAATCAGAGACAGACCCAGCATTGGCCAACATTCCAGCGCAGAAAGACTGTGGCCGCACCACAGGGCCAAGCTGACCATGCAGCACTGAGGTCTGGTGGCCTCTGGGGTACAGTGACTTCTAGGAATTGCAGGTGCTGGCCCTTCAAGGCCAGTCTGCCTGGCCACTGCCCAAGCTCTGCAATAAGCAGGTCTGTTGGGTGGGCACTGACCAAGGTATCCTGTGGTCCAGGCCAGCATGAGTTTTGTGGCTTGCCAACAGATCCCTTCCAGAGCATTCAGACATGGGGCGAGAGGTGGCATGTAAGGGCTTACTCAAGATGGACACAAGAATACAAAGGGGAGCTGGACCTCACAGGTGAGATGCACAAACATGCCTATCTGAATGAGCATACACATGAACACAGCTTAGAAGCTGCTATCACAGGTAGTGAGCTAGCCATGGCTGGCTCTGGAACTACACAAGCAGGAAGCCCTCTTCAGACAAGGCAGAGGGCACTGGGAGCTGTTTACACGTGAGTTGCCACCGAGGTACCATGCCAGAGTTTCCCCTACCTGAGCTGCAGTCCTTTAAGGCCATGTTAATCTCAGCCAATGGCCAAATGCTCATGGACAGAACATTTGGTGGGTTTTGTGTGGTGCGGTTTTATTTTGGGGTGGGGGTGCAATTTTAATTTCTAGATATTACTAATAAAACTTTCCCCTAAACAGGACATTTCCTTCTAAGAAAAGATGGTGGCTGTAGGTGCAGTGTTCTGCAAGAAGATGTATTTTATAAAACCTGTGAAGGATCTTCTGTATTTATGTAACTTTTGTATTTGCCATTCTGTATTTATCTAACTTTTCATCACTTCATTAGAAAGACATGCTAAATCAGAACACTAGAAAGAACCAGCCTAGCTTCCTTGCTTGTCACCACAGGGAACTCTTGGAGATGGTGTGGCCCTCTTGAGATTATGGTCTCTGTCCCTGCCTCTATGCAGCTGTGGCCCACATTCCTCTGCTGAGCTCACTCCAGACCAGTGGACCTTTTAGGCACAAGCTAAGGTGCCACTGAGACTCTGTTTCCAGCCCACAGAGCAGGTGTGGTGCCAGAGGGGCAGAGAGGTCCAGAGTCAATTCCAGGTCTTGCTGTGCTATGCTCCAGCAGGGCTTACCATGGACCACTGTACAGGCTGTCACTGGGGCCTCATAGAAGTGTTTTTGTCCTAGGCTTGGTTTAGGGGAGTATGTGCAGAAGATTAAGGCTGCTATTTCCACTGACCAAGAACGGAAGCTGGGAAGCCCCATACTGGTACACACACAGGTAGGGCTGCTTTCCACAGGGGAAAGACAAGGAAGGTTTTCTAAGCTGTGACCAGCCCCAGAGTAACAGCATCATGGTGTGCCACCATAACTGACTGGCTATCAGGCCTGGCATGGTGCTGGCTGCTTATCTCTGGATAGTGTGGCCTGTGTGCTTCCCAGACTCAGCTGAAGGCTGAACCCTTAGCCTCTCACCAGTGACTTGCTCCATGGCCCCTCTCCCCCACCCCCAAGCAACAGGTCATGAGTTACCTGTGGTGAATCTTGGTTTGGTGGGGGGTTCCTGGACTGACATGGGGAAGGTGGCAGATGCCGGGGAGGACTGTGCCCGAGACAGAGGTCTGTGGCTGCCAAATGACACAGGGATGCCGGCAGCCTCCATAGATGCCTGGTAGTTCCTTAGCTGGTGGATCCTCTGCTGCTCTAGCAGGAGAGCTTGCTGCAGGGCAGGAAAGAGGGCCATTAGTGGCAGACCATTTCCCACCAGTCAGTGACACTTATTACAGTCACCCATAGCCACTGGCTAACAACTAACCATGGAGGCATGACCCAACCATGGGTCATGATCTGAGCAGGATCACAAGAAGAGAAGGCACTTGACACACAGGCCCTGCTTAAGAGGATGAGGGGACTTGCTACCTCAAAGGCCTACAGGGAGGTTTGGTCCAGGTGGGGCTCAGGAAGAGTTCTCTAAAGAGATGGTGAACAATGGTAGAGGGCTGGTATTACACAGGGGTTGAGTCCTTGGCTGGGAGAATTACTCTGGAGTGAAAATGGTACAGTGAATGTACATGGCACCCCTCCACCGGTTCTTCTGGTAGTGAAAGGGTGACTAATCTGTGGGCCAAAGTGAGCAGGGGAGCAAAGGCAGACACAAAAGGGCCAGCTCTATATTGTCTAATGTGTTCCCACCCTGGCCTCTGACCACTCTAGTGGTCATTCTCATGCTAGGAAGGTCAGAGCGGTGGGGAGAAAAAGGGACGTGCTACTGAAGGGCTCAACTGCCCACTGCAGAGAACTGAGATGACAGGGGCACACCGTGGAGGAGGCAGAATCTAGCTGGGTGTCTGTGTAGTATAAGGTCACAACTCAGAGGATTAGCCACCCTGAGGGATGTGGACCCTAATGGGGACTCTGGGGACTGGCGGAGGTACATGTCCCTATGGAAAGTCAATCAGCTGGGAGGAGTGAGGCAAAGATGAGATTCCCATGGTTGGTCTGCTCAGAGGCAGTAGTGAGCAGAGGAAGCCTCTGCTAGCTGAAAAAGGAAACTGTGTCATCCCATGCCACTGCTACATGTTAAAAGGAAGTCCAACAGAAGTTTGTGCCCACCCCCAGAAACCTCATCCCAAGATGGACAGATCTTATGGTCTTGGAGAATGTTCACTCCTGAGAAGCAGGGTACTTTACCCCAGATGCTTGTAGTCACCTGTAGACAGGAGGCAAGCTTCAGACCCTGGGGCTGCAGGAGGGAGGCAGAGCACCTCCTTTAGAAGGGCCATAAATACCCACGCAGAAGCATAAGGCCCAGAGCCTCTACAGCTTGCATCGGACCACGGGGACCAGGCCACTAAACAGCTGACTCTGAGTGATATCCCCTATGTGTACTTCCACAAACCGTCATGCTTGAGGTCTCCATGAAGGGGGGACCAGTCTTACTGGTTGTTCTCCAGAGAAAGTAAGGACTCCTAAGCACTGTCTCAGGCTTGGATCATCTGGTGTCTACAAAACACTAGTCCCAAAAGCAGCTAATGAAATATCTGACATAGATCTGTGTGGTAACAGAACACTGGGTTTCAACGAGAGCATGTTGGCATTGGCTTTCTCTGAGGGTTTACTCCAGACATGACAAACTTGTTCCCATTTCCCTTTGGGTCCATCAGCCTGGGGCAGCAGACAGTCCTAGCCACTAACTGTCCTGAGTGCCTGATTCACAAGACCAATGGCATTTGTTACCCTCTGTTAATTCTACTATATCTTAAAGAGTGGTAGTTATGTGATGGGAGCTAAGTATCCCCAGGGTCAAATGGGACACCTTTGCCCGAGACAGACAAGAGAATCACAGAGCTGGGTGCTGGGGACAGACTATGGGACCTATTCCCAATGCAGATATCCAGGAGACTCTAAGCCACCCTCATGCTGTGGCTGCTACCTAGCTGTTCCAGGGACCATATGAGAATGAAAGTCAACAGCTGCTTGCTGGAGGAACCTTGATGTTCTGGTATTACCAAGAGCTATGGAGAAGCAGCAGTGGTAGCCACATGTGTCATGGGACTGAGAAGGGGCTCGGCTGGGAGAATCCTAGAGTCCTGTGAGCCTATGCCCTACAAGAGGACCCAAGTACTGCTTCTTGGGAATACAACTAGAGTCTATGACTCTGGCTCCCCTGGATTTCCTGGTACTCCCGAGGCAAAAGCAGCCTCTTTGGGGTTCTCTGGCTTCTAATCTAGGGCTTCCTTCTCCCTGTCCAACTGTCCCTCGTCTTTTTAGACATGTGCCAGTTTACCTTTCATTGCAAATTAAGTCACTCACTGAACCTCCTCAGTCTCTGGCAGTCTGCTACTGTGTACTGCACCCTGGACCTCATTGGCTTCTCTGAATCTGAAGGATGATCACCTAAGGTCCCAGTCTGATCAGACCCTTTTTTTTTTTTTTTTTTTTTTTTGATACATGGTCTCACTATGCGGCCCCAATTGGCCTGAATTCATGATGCAAACCAGGTCAACCTTGAACTCACAGATATCTGCCTGACTGTCTCCAGTCCTCAGATTAAAAGTCGCACACCACCACCTCCAGCTCCCTTGCTCCAATTTTGGTGGTTAGGCTGAATCCCACCAACCATCTACAGCCTCCCATACCTGAGGAGAAAGTGCAGACCATGTGCTCAAGAAGGCACAGGAACACCTTCAGAGGGCAGGAAAGTATACAACAAACACACCCTACCTCCCAGGAAGGCAGGAAGATCACTAGGGCCAAAACAGTGAGTGTCTGTGATTCAGAGGACAGGAGAAGCTGAGGTCAACTGCCTGCTTTCCTCATTCCACACCTGTCTGAAGAGCAGCTCCTGCTCAGTGGCTGGGCGCTGGCTGGGTTCCGCCTCTCGAGTGGGCTCCACCTCCTCCTCCTCACTCTCGATGGGCTCCTGTTTGACCTGCACACCAGCTAGGGAAGGCTCCTTCTGCCCAGGGAGCCGGTCTAGGTAGGGCTCATCCAGCAAGGCCTGGTGCTCACGGAGCTCCTCCTCCGTCTCCTCAGGGTGGCTCTCAGGCTGGCGAGGTGGCTCGCTGGGTTTAGAGATCATCTACCGTGCAGAGGAGACAAGGGAAGTTAGGACAGTCATGGGACCGGAAGAAGCTCTTCCACAATTCAGGAATGTTCTACCAAGAACTTGTGTGATCCAGGGCTAGCACTGCTTTTACCCACACACCATGGGCCTTAGCATCATCTGAGATGCACAGGAAGTGATGCTTAGGGCTAAAATGATGTGGCCTGCAGACAGGTGCTGGGCACTCAGTGCTAGTGCAGTGTGTCTGTGTGCCCAGAAGAGAGACACTGCAGGCGTGAACTCAATGTGCAGAGGGGATAAAGGTAAGCAGCAGAGAAGCCAGTGCCAGTCAGTCACAGGTGCTGAGAGCATCAGAGGCCGACATCAGGTACCCTGTGGTGAGGAGCCAGTATAGGACCGGGAGGGTCCAGAAAGAAGTTCTTCAAAAGGTTAGGAAAGTCACACACTGAAAGGACCTTCAGGACATGCCATCGGTTTGTGGGCAGCAGTGTTGGTGGTGCCTTGTCAGATGCACATGCCAAGCTCCCCAGCTAATTTTTACTAAGCTACCACGTGGTTGTACAGGCAAGATTTCTCCAATTGTGTTCTGAAAGCCTACCCTGCTGGAGATCTTATTCCTAAAACCCCAAAACACAAAGGCAGACAGGTGGAAGACAGAGACAGGGAGACAGTGGCCATAGGGTACGTCTTCTGACAAGATGGATGGGCTCTGTGGGACATAGTGTAGTGATGGTGGAAATTGTTCTGTACCGTAAGCCTTCTCACTATACACATGCATACAATGGGGCAGCTGAGTGAAGTCCTAGACATGTTAACTGGCATGGCTGAGATCATGTCATACTGTACGCTGTCAACGGCCTCAATGAAGGTAGGCAAAGCCCATGTCAAATTAGTGAGCTATCAAGCCTCTCTCCAGATGATGGGAAAGACTAGGCAAGCAGGCTTCAACAGAAGTACACTGTTAGCTATTTGTTCCGCTTCATAGTTTGTGATATGCTCATGCCACCTTACTCTTGTGTACTCCTAACTCCTAACTCCTAACTCCAGCTTTGGGTTGGGGAAGGGCAGGTGACACCATTCTGGCAAGCAGATGCACTCTAACTAGTAACAGGATGAGGTGAGCTGGGTGTCTGATGTCAGGTTTGCTGAGATTGGGCCCTTTCAGGTCAGTGCTATGGCAGCAATGGAAGGGACACAGTACCTTGAGGTGACATAGAAGAAATTCTCTGGGGAAGGTGGCTTCAACTGCTAGAGAGACAATAGCAGAGGGACAGCCAAGATCCAAAAAGGAAAGAACAAGGGAAGCTCGGTGGATGGGGCTGGGAATGACCTAGGACCTATACAACAGGCTCCCATTGCACAGAAGGACACAGGTGTAAAAGAGGTGGCAATGGGGCTATGACTACAGAGACAGACCACGAAGATCAGAACGTGGGAGAGGGCTCAAAAGGCTTCCCCTTTGGCTCTGGGTGGGGAACAGCTGGGGAGTACAAGCTGCAATTTGGTAGAAAGTATAAGCACTGGGATGCAGATGACAGGTCTGGACTAGGGACAACTGTCTTCAGGAAATACTATGTAGAGACAGAGGTAGAGAGGTCGGCCTAGAACAAAGATGCTCAAGCAGTCTTCAAGCAAGACTAAGGCCTTTTCTTCCTTTTTCTGTCTGTCTCTCTTAACACACACACACACACACACACACACACACACACACACACACACACGAGGGAAGGAGGGGGGTGAAGAAAAGGAAGAAAGAGGTATAATCTATGTGTATGGCTGACCCACCCAAATGACTGGGCCCTCAGGAAGTCAGGTCATTGTAAAGGCTCAGCGCTAAGTGTTTACAAGTGCCTAGCACGTGATGGACTTGAACCCAGTTTCCTCCCTACTCTACGGTAGCACTCAGAAAACAAAATAACTGTTCAAAGTAGGCCATGATAGGTAGAGGCTGTTACAGGAAGGGTAGAGGGTGTCTTCTGAGAGGAGGAAGCAGGGCAAGTCTGCTGGGTTTGTCTAACACCATCTTTATGCTTCAACACTGATGAACGCTGTTAGAAGAGCACACTCAGCCTTTCACCTTAGCATCTTCGGCTCAGCAACAGACAGAGGGGCCTTTTCTCCCGATACCTTTATGTGAACAGCTGAGCTCATGGCCCTCACAATAATAGGCCTCTGTCCTATGGTCCCACAGTGACCCCCTAACAACTTTTGTACCCCTTTCTGGATTGAACACGTCCTGTATTCTATGTGGTGTCATGTTTCTTCAGTGTCCTTGTACCATTTATGGTTCTGAGTACCTCCTGTTTTTCTGAGATTACAGTTTGGTTGTTCACTGAACAATATTCAACTTTCTTAAAACTGGAGTCTGCCTAGTTAATCCAGGCAGGAACTCTGAAAGTGACATGTAAAGCAAAGGAACGTCCCCTTAGAACCCTGGTCTCCTGTTAGCTGGCTTGTCACCTCAATGCTGACTGCCTGTGGCTTAGGAGAGTGCCTCTGGGAAAGGTGGGGGGAGTGCTCACATCAGTACATGGTTGTGGGACTCTTCTCTTTGCTGTGTCTGATGCTGGGAAGGCCTTAGGCTTCTTGCTCTTGATGTCCTCCCTGTGTCCTCCTCTCATATGTCAAATGGCCTCCACTGCCAGGACACGCTTCCCTGCTTCCTCTCCAAGTTGGGTATAAGCTGCTGACAACGTGGGAGCTTAGTGGTGCCACACAGGCAGGTCTGCAGCCTTGGCAGGGACCAGGCAGGCAGAAACTGCAGAGCAGGGAGCAGGGAGCAGGGAGGCTCTCATGGGGTCTCAGCTTGGCTAGGCCTCCCTCCAGAGGGTGCCTACTAGGGATATTGCCATGGTAACACCGGCCACTCTGAACCCTGTCAATGATGCAGAACAGGCCACGGCCTGCAGTCGTTGGGCCACTTTGTTTAGCACTGACAGAGGTGCTGGTGCAACCAGGCTTTGTGAGCCACAGTCACAGAGATTCTCTCTCTACCTCTTTGAACTTAGCTTTACTTCTTTGTGTCAACAGAAACAGCTTCTTAAAGCAGAGCTGGCTTTGGGAAGCAAACTTGGCTTTAGGCAATAGAACAAAAAAGGCCAGTGGAGAGGCAAGTAGCAGCTCTCGAGCATGTCAGTTCCTGTTGTCCAGAGGCCTCTTGGACATCAGAGCCCTGCTTTTATCAAGAGGTGAGAAGACACACACTACCATATCCAGAACAGCAGGGTTGAGACATCAGACTAGAGATCAGAGCCAGAACCCTACTGGCAAGTGCAAGATATCAAAGAACTATTGGACCCTCTCCTAAGTAGACCACCTACAGCCGTCCACATGCTCATGCTCAAGAGAGGAGGCTCAGGGAGGCCAACACTGCCTGCACAAAGATCCAGTCATCTTGTAGACCCACCGTCACGACAAGAACTGCTTTCAACAATGGGGAAGACACTTTTTCCATGGAAAGAGGAAGGCACATTTTCTGAGCACAGCTTCCCACTTTTTGGGACAAAAAACAAACAAGGCTGTGGTGAAGTGGGTCTGGAGGCAACAGTGAAAAAGGGGTGCTTCCCTGCCAAGATGAGCATTGCACTCAGAGAGCCTTCTTTCCCTGGAAGGGTTCATCCTTTGGCCTGCCTTTAGGGAGCACATTAATGTGGGTACAGCACTCATATGAAGGGCTGACATCCAGTCAGGTACACTGGCTGCCACTTGAATCCCAAGGAGTCAAGAGGGGGAGCCAGCTCAGCAGCCCTGTTTGGTCCCTTGGAAAAATGGGAATGGTCACAAAAGGCTGTTGAAAATACAATACAATTAGCTCCTATCACATCATTGGAAGATTGGCACTTTTAATATGGAGGCTGAATGCATAGTGGGCAGTGAGCCCAGCTGTGGTCCCCGCTATGACAAGCAGGAAGTGGACGGCCCTTGGGAACAAGCTTCTCACAGAGCAGGGCAGGAACACAATGCCAGATAGCACAGAGAACATCACTGTCTTCCTGATCGTCCCAGGAAAACATTGTATAAACGTTTCAATCAACTGTCATTTGCTATCACAAATCAATCATGTAACAAGCCCCAGTGAGATTACCCGGCTTCTAAAGTCATCTTCAAAAATATGCCACATGTGAATGGGTGTTTCCTGTCTTCAAACCTCCTACCACACCACTCAGGTAGTGATATAATGAAGTTAATAATCCTAGTCTGGCACTAGAGAGATGGATATGAAAGTGCTTTTGACACCTGAGAGTATAGACACTTGGCAGAAGCCTGTCTGCCTGTCTCGCCCCCAGCAAATGCCTTTCCTGTGTAAATAATGGGATGCCTGGAGCCTCCAACTTCTGACATACCCAGAGTGTCAGGCATCAGGGCTGTGGGCTAAGGGACTTGGGGCTAAGGAGCTGATATCATCGTGTCTGACAGGTAGGAGGGGCCTGGCTGAGCCTGCGCTAGGCCTGCAGTCTGTAGCAACTTCCTTGGAAAACCAGTTTGATCCTGGACCTCTTAACTAGCGGCAGAAATCAAGGTGGGGTGGGTGTGGACAGGAGCCACTTGTCATCCCTCTGTCCTGGAAATACGTGAAATGAGGCCTCTGATTCACTGTGGGGCTCTGCAGATCTCTTCAGATAGAAAACAGAGCCACCTGTGTATATGCACTCATCTTCCAGTCTCTCGCCCCGATCCTTCCCCAACATCCACAGGGAAGCCACGGAAAAGGCGTGGAGCCTGACAACAGGCAAAGGACCAATGATGGTGTGCTTGCATCTCAGTCCTCTCTCATTTTCAATTTCCTGTGGTCAATCAACATCTTAAAAATATTAAATAAAATATTCTAGAAATAAACGATTCCCAAGTTATAAGCTGTATCCCAGTCTTGTGCTAATTCACTCCAAGGCACCTAGGGTGGGTACCCACCCTAATACAAATATACCGAGTGCTTCTCTCCTCGTTGGCTAATAAGCCACCTTGTCTCCCCACTTGGCTATTGTTCAGAGGGTTCTGTACTGGCCAGATTCAGGCATCTACTGAGTATCTTGGAGCGTATCCCACCCCAGGTAGGTAGCAAGAATAGATCTAATTCATAAGTCCTGAAATTCACTTTTAAACTGAACAGTTCAGTAGTTTACAGAACTATATGACCATAACTTCAACCTAACTTGGGAACATTTTCATTGGCCATAACATAAATGCTGTCCCTAGTGACAGTTGTTCACACTTCCTCACAAGCTGTAGCTCTTGACAACCACTAACTTAATCCATGTCTAAGGCAGCGGTTCTCAACCTATAGGCTGCAATCCCTTTGGAGGTCAAACAACCCTTTCATAGGGTTCATACACTGGATATCTTGCCTATCAGATATTTACATTACGACTTGTAACAGTAGCAAAAGTACAGTTCTGAAATAGCAAGAAAATAACTTCATGGTTGGAGGGTCTCCACAACATGAGGAACTGTATTAAAGGGCTGCAGCATCAGGAAGGTTGAGAACCAGCGCTCTAAGGCCTCACCCACGCTAGTCACTTCCTTCGAGTGAAACAGCAGTGGCCATCCGTGACTTGTTTATGTTCCTAACTGCCATGTTTTTGGGCCACACATGCTGGAGGACCTAATGACAAAAAGAAGTGTGTTCTGTCCTCTGTCACTGAGAGATAAACCCAGGGGTTACTTAATTCATCATTTGGCTGCTATGAGCAATGCCGATGAGGCAGGTGTCTGTGAGACATTTCCATTTTTCTTGGAGGACAGCTGCTTAGGTGTCTGCAATATACTCATCTGAGTTGATACTGAAGATGCCTGACTGACACATCTGACGAGAACATACTGAGCTCCTCTATGTCCCTGCTTGCCAGCACCGTGGCGCTAACTCTCCCATTGCCCCCCCCCCCCCTGCAGATGGGGCTAAGAGACTGTGGGCAACCTGAGAGTGCAGACCTCTCTACAGGCTAGCTGCTCCCAAGTTACCTCTAATGGTGTAATGCCCACATTTAAAGAGCTGCAGGTGCCAGGTGACTTGAAAAATTTGCTCCAGGAACTCGAGCATATTGTAAGGCTACAGGCCTTGGGTTATAATTTGCTTACGGATCTACTTGGCAAATGACTTTAGAGAATCCCTGAAAGGACTGCTTATGTGAACTGCGTCACACAATGATGTGGAGGCGTCTTGCGAGGATGTGGCCCACTACTTGCAGGTACTGATGGGCTCTGAGGAAGGCTCTGGACAACCCTGCACATTAGCTCCACACAAGAGCACACCTCCCTAGGCTCTGAGTCATGGATAGAACATGTGCTCTGTGTTCCTCCCTTTCCTGTTCTGACCACTCAAGGCCAGCAGGGGCTAAGGAAGGCAGCAAAGCATACACCACCTGGCTGCAGGTGAGTGGTCCTGGAGGGCAGCAGGACAGACCCACCTTGCTGAGGTGCAGCTGCTGCTGCTGGAACTGCTGCTTGTGCTTCTCCAGGAACTGCTGGTGCTGCTGCTGGATCACTAGGTGCTGCAGGGCTTGTGCGTTCTGCGGCAGGGGTGCAGACTGCGTGCGCCCCAGTGGGCGGTGATGCCGCAGCTTGTGAATGGATGGGGACACCCTGTCCGCACCAACCAGGGACTGTGTGTGGAGGGGCAGCGCCCCCAGGCCTGAAAGATACCAGTCTGAAGATAATATGGAGGAAAAAAAAACAGCAGAGGGGAAGAGGAAGAAGAGAGGGGAGATGCTGTTGAGTAATCAGTGGAGAAAAAGACATGCCTGCCAGCCCAGGTGCCTTCTAGGAAACATGACTGTCTGCAAACAGGCCCAACTTCAGCTAGAGGCTGTAAGTCTGAGCTGGGCTTTAGGGGCAGGGGCAGAGAACATAATCTGAAAGCAAGGCCACCTGACGATCCCACTGATGCAGTCTCTCCAGGAGCTCACCGAGGAGCACTCCAGAAGGTGTGGCAAAACAGCCTAGGATCAGCCTGCCGAGTCTGTCACAGGTGTTTCCAGAGGATGGCTATTTTAGCTCATACATACCTAATTACCAGAAAGAAGAACAGTTTGCAGCTGACCTGCCGAAACTCACAGACAAACTGACAGCAAGAACCTGTCACCATCACACACCCAGGAACTGCCACGACCTTGACTTTCAGTGGATTCTACCTTAGGAGACTTTACTTTCTATCACATACAGAGTGGAGTTGAGAGAGGAGAGGAGGGTGGCACAGAGAAGAAAGCAGATCTTCTCTAAGGGCATGAGAAAGGGGTTGCAGAGAGAGCGAGTGCAGTGACATGGCACAGCATGCAGATAGTGCAGGACAGCAGCAGCTTCGGACAGACAAGCATGAGTTCAAAGTAGTGGGAAGGAATCAGAGAAGAATGTTTGCTCCCACATACTTCCTCTGGTCAGTCTGCCCGGGAGGAGGAGTGTGGTACAAGGCTGGAGTCTGTGCTAAGAGCTGACCCCTTTGCCAGTGAGTACTGTGCTTAGACAGTGCTCTGAGATGAGCAGCTATGGCCACATAAGTAGTGGGATATTGTGCTACTACTCTGGCTTGAATGCTCACGGGTCTAGGCTCTACACATGGTATCATTCTTTACTGTTCTATACAATGGGGAACCTAGGCCTCTAGGACAGCTGTGTCTGAACAGATTAACTCTGTTCAGGAGGCTCCTTTCCACAGGAAAACAGAAGGAACCTATTGAGACCCAGCATCAGGACCACATGACATGGAAGACAGGGGTGCACTGGAAGATTAGGTGGGACTGCCGGGAGAAAGAGTGTGGAGTCTGAAGAAGAATCACAAACAGTGGCCTGACATCCCAGCACTTAGGAGACTGAGGCAGGAGAATCAGAGTTTGAGGCCAGCCTGGGCAGCAAAGCAAGATTTAGTATCAAAACAGTAGCAAAGGACCAAATAGATAAAAGAATAAAAACCAAAAACCATTCTAACCCAAAAGGAACAGCCTCAACCAGGAGATCAACACTGACCAGGCTAACGGGTGGTAAATGCTTCCTATGGGAGCTGAATCTTTTCACTTCCTCACTGTGTGCCAGTGTTTCATTCACAGGTGGGAAGAAGAAGCTCATAGTGAGTGGCTTCCCAGACAACAGACAAGAAGGGGCCTGAGCATAATGGGCAACTCATGGTCACTGGGACACTGCCCTCCAGAGCTGAGGGTACCAGCAGCCAGAAACGCTGTTCCTGTCTAGATCACTAACTTGGGAGAGCCAAGGGCATACTGGAGATTAAAAAAAAAAAAAAGCACAAGCCAGAAACACAATACCAAGCCCTATAGACTGATTCATACCAGAAGGCAGGGATACTCCAACTCACCAGCCAGGGGCTGGCCCAGGGAACACTGGAACAAGGCCAGCCCTAGGGTTGCTCTGGCTATGATTCTGAGTGAAACAATAGGTGTGAGGAAGTCAGCCACTGACCTAAGATGGTGTAGAACTAGGCAAAGCCACCAATAGGTAAGATTCTGTGTCTCAGAAAAAACAGTCCACATGTCGTTTCTGAAACATAGTCCCTCCATAGCGTGTTCACCAGGTAAAGGTCACAAGTCTCCTATCTTTTTCTAACTTCCATTTTCCTAAATGTGATCATTCTCAAGCTGAGAAGAGACATCAGCGGTCAGTTCTGAACTTCATGCACTTGCTTCCTTGAGCTACAAGGAAACCTATCAGAGGGAGAACAGGAGGCTAAACAGGGGGCCACTGGCATCGACTTCTGCTCCTTGGTCAGCTTTCTAAGCAGGAGATGGTTCTTTGCCATAGCTGAAGTAGCTATGACATAACAGGGATCCAGAATCTCTGTTGTGTGGGCTCAGGTGTTCTTTCCAGTCCTCTTCAAAAGCTACATGAGGCCTGGCTGTGTTCTTACCTGTGACGAGGGGCGTCTGGGTAGGTGGCTGCTCCAGAAGGACCATATGCTGCAGGAGGGGATTGTGAGCCGCTCCACCATCCCGCTCCAGGGGCGAGGTGCTCAGGTATGGGGTGAGGTGGGTGCCGGGAAACAGGGAGAGTCGCTGCTGGAGGGCCGGGAGGGCAAGCCTCTCAGCATCCTGCTGGCCTGCTGTGCCCTGAAATGTACAACCGGAATATTCAGGCAGTGGGAACTGAAGCAGGCAACCACCCCATGTCATACAGACCCACAGAGGCCAACTTACAGCAGCAGGGCCAGTGGCAGGAAGTCCCAAGGTGATGTTGGGTAAGGACGGTGATGTGTAGAGAGGGAGTGGGGCGACTGAGCCTTCTCTCGTCACAAGTCTATGTGCCAAGCTCGTCTGCAGACAGAAGACACTGTGACCCTCAGAGTCTGCCACAGATGTTCCAAGCAGCACATCCAGGACTGCAAGGGGGCACTTCTAGCAGAAGGTGTGGACATGTGGTTACCTGGTGCAAAAACGGGCTGCACGTTCTGTGACCCACAGGTGCGTGTAAGACCTTCAAGCATGTCACAGGTAGAGAATCAGGGCTCCTATTCCTGAGTTTCTGCCCTCCTAATGAGCTCTTGCTACCTTGTTTGTTTTTATTCAATTTGTCTAGTTACCATAAAACTACAGGTAGGAAGTTTAGAACAATGTATTTCATAATATTTTTTTATATTTAGGGTTTTTCCAAGAATGACATCAAAAGCAGAAAGTTATTAAGGAGAAAGTTATTAGTAAGCAGGAAAAACCTTGTTCTTATAAAAGGTAGGTAATAGTGACAGCAGGATCTATACAGGAAAGACAATAACTAAAATATAAAGAACTTGTCAATCAAAGACCAATTAACATGAGAGCAGAACTCAATAAAGACAATAACAAAAGAACCCATATTAAGGAAAATGAAAAACAAAAACAAAACAAAAAAACAACATTCAACATTATCAGTGACCGAAAACATATTTACCAATTCATCCAACTGAGAGACTTTCTAAAGGCTCAGAAAAGCTGAAACACGTGGTCACAGGATTATAAACTGCTGTACTTTCTGCAGACTGATTTGGCAATCTGTCTGGAAGCTCCTGGCTGAGGGTGCAGTGGTGAGAAACACTCCTAAGGAAAGGCCCCAGCACATGAGGACAGCCACAGCACCATTTAAGCAGTCACATGAAGGCGGCAATATGTGGCTTCAGCCACGCCAGTCAAACTTAAAAGAACACAGGGCCTCGTCAGCACACAAGAGGTCAGGAACTGGCCTGATAGCCATGGCAGCTGTTACTATTGTTTATTAGTGGTTATTATCCGTCATTACTGGTGTCATTTCTAAAGTTAGCGTTAAGAGTAAGAGGTAGAGTAGGTTAAGGTTAGGACTAGGTTAGTCTTGGTGTTAGGGACAGAGCAAGGTTAAGGCTTAGGGCTTGGTGGCAGAGCCAGGGTTAGGATTGTGAGAAGGTTAGGTTACAGCTTGGCATAAAGTTAGTGTTAAATGAACTAGGGTTTAGGTTAGTTTTAGGGTTTGGGCTGGAAACAGGGTTATGATTTCATTTAGGACTAGTGTATGAGCTAGCATTAAGTTTGGGGTGAGAGCTAGGGTTTGTGTCTACATGTTAGGTCTAGTTATAGCTAGGGCTAGGGTTAGGTGTAGGGCTAAGGTTAGAATTAGAACTATGTTAAGACTATGGCTAGTCAGTCAGTATTTGAGTGAGGTGTAGAGCTTTAGTGTGGTATTAGGGTTAAGGTTTTGGACATGGTTAGGGCTAGGATGAACACAGAATGTCACAGCTAGGATTGCCATTATGGTTAGTTTTATACTATTTCTGCCTGGGGTGCAGGGTGGGACGGGGCCATTGTCTGGAGTGCTCTAATATGTGTCCTATCAGCTCTTTTTTTGCAGGTAGATGGACAGGCCTTGCTCAGAAGAATGGTGTTTTATCTCCACCATGCCAACAAATGAGACTATAGGATGCCAGTTCCTGGTTCGAGAAGGCTGTATGTAGGCATAATGTGGTGTTTACCACGAATCCACAACCCCATTTTCTATTAGTTCTTTTAGTGTACTGTGTAATTAAGGCTGGGAAACATTATAACATAGTAAAATCTCATTCCCTGAACAAAAGTAAAATTACATAGGCTAAAATTACTGATGAACAATGGTCATCTGTCTGTACCTCTGGCCAGAAAATAATTTCTTCCTTCCTGTAAAAGTACAGGTGGCCAATTTTCTTCCGTTTATGTCAAAGACCCTGGCTTTCATGATGCCTTGGGGAGCTACCTGGGATCAGTGCACCAGACTGAATGCCTCAGGGCTGTGACAGGAGGCAGGAAAGACAGTTGCTTACCTTGTGCCACCTAGCCCAGAGCAAGGGTAGTTCATACATATGCAACATGAGCAACGACCAAAGGGCTTCTGGGAAAGTTCTTTTAGAAAAGAACTTAGAAGTGTCAGTCAGTCAGTCAGCCAGCCAGCCAATTTGTCTCTTTTGTGTTTGTGTGTATTATGCACGTATCAAAAGTAAAAGTACTTTCAAGTATCACTTCCGGAAATATGTTTTGGTTAGTTGAGAACAAAATAAGTAGTTTCTAATGTTTACAAAGATATATCTTTTACCACTCAGGTAGCAGCCGCTTAGAGGATTTCCTTGTGGAACTAAAGAGACGTGCCCTAGTTATGTTCACTTGCGCACACAAAACATGTATCTGTGGTGTCTCCTGTCTTCAGGCCAGAGTACATTAGGAGCTTACAGGAAGAGCCCCTCAGAGCTCTGTCCACTACAGAACAGGCCTCTCAGCTTCCTGAGAGTGAACCAGGGCTAGTGGCCAGAGCCTGTGCACACCTCGTAGGAGTGTGAGCATGTGCAGTTTGTAACAGAGGTGTGTCAGCACTTCTCCTCCTGCAGAGAGAGACCTTTAGAACACAGCTGTGGTTCCTTAAGGACCCCATAATGCATAGTCAGTACATGAGCAGCCCTCAGCCACAGCTCATCCAATTCTAGTGTCTGAAATTCAAAAGGAATGTCCACATGTGACCCAGTACTCAAATGCCAGCTCTGCCTGTAACAATGACTGCCTGAGGAGAAACACTGGCAACCTCACTAGTCTTGGAGATGCTCTGTGTGCTCTATTGATTTGTGGTAGCTCAACTTACACATTTAGGCTTTGTAAAGATCAACACATAACTTAAATTGAAGCAGGGGCTCTCCACCCAAATGAGGAGCTGTTACACTACTCTGATTTCTCTAACTGCCCACATCACATATGTATCTGGGCCCATGGCTAACACGGAGGAACTGGAGTTAACATCCGAGGGCAGGAAGCAGTTTTGTGGTTGTGCTCTGAGGCTAATCACAGGTAGGTCTCAGCCATAACCTCCTCAGTCTTGCAAAAGGGCTGTTAAAACTTCTACAACCTATGAAAATACTTACTGGGAAGGTTAAAGAATGCAAACAGTGAGAGAATATGCGCATACAGTAAGAGACCTAGGTGCAGCAGAGTGGACCTCAATTTTCGCCATGACCCTGATTTCTAATTATCTCGACAGGAAGGAGCTAGAAACCCGAAATGAAAATGCTAAGCACCATTCCTGTGTATCTCACCTGAGGCCATCAGCTCTTTGGAAGGACAAGACCCATTTTTAAATACTGAAGAAGTCAGTCAGTATCTATATTACCAATAAAGACTCCTGTAAGCTAGGAACTCCCAAGAAATTTCCCACTCACTATACTCACACACAGAAGACAACAGTTCTGGGCTAAACCCCCAAAAAGCTGTTTCTGGGTGGTCTGCCCCATCCTGGCCTGTAGTAGCAGCAGCATTGACAGACTAAGGTCTGTGTTTCCACCCACAGCCTGGTCAGATTCCTCACCTATGGGAAGCTTTCTCTGCTCCTGCATCCTGGGCCCGGCCTGTGGGTCAGCGATGCTGTGGAGTGGTGGAAGTTTGGAGGGAATGTGCTGGGACCTGCTGTACTGGAAAACCACCATGGACCCATCTTTTCATTTCTGATCCTTTCCTTTCTCCCACATTAGTGTCCACCAGTAACTTTCATTTCCCTAACACTTAATTTTGTTGGCTATTGTAATTTGTGTATCTCAAATATGTCTTCTTCACCCCACAACCGTTCTCACAGGCCCGCTGCTTGCCCCATGTGCCTTAGCACATCATGTGGATGTGGTTGTATGATGACAGCTGTTTCTGTGACACACCTGGACAAAGATGCAGACAAACATGGGCTGGAAGTCCCCATCTTATGAGGCCCTCATGTTTCAGGAAGACCATGGCGGGAGGACGGGTGAGTAACACCCGGAAGGCCCTCCCCGTGGTGCTCCACGTGTTGGGCCTTCACTGAACAGTTAGGCACAGGCAGGTATTGGTCCGGGTGCTTGGCCCAGATGAATCTGTGACTGACCCACCTCAGCTGGAGCGCTGGGAACGGTGGGTGTGATGCCATTTTCAGTGCTGACATTGCCAGAGCTGCTATTCGGAGAGCTGGGACCGGAGCCAGGGGCGCTGCTGCACGCAGAGTCTGTAGATGAGAGACAGCAGTTGGGTTTGGGCACTGGGTAGAAGACAGAAGAGGGCCCTCTTGCCTCCCTGGTTTCTGCTTGCTAGCCTGCTGGCAGGCAGAACAGGGCAGGATTTCAAAGCAGGGATGGTAACATGATTCCCTTGGTCTCAGCTTTGCTGCTGACCTTCCATGAGCCTTCCAAAACTAGAGCTCTGTGGATGTATGACTGAGCCTTTCAGTGTGTGCGTATTACCTGTTCCATAGCTCCTCTGAATTTCAAGACTGTTTGAAACATCAGAAAGGAATGCCCTTAAACATTAATATTCAAAAGACCAGTGAACACAAAGGCCCAGTTTGTTTGTTTGTTTTTTTTTAACAGCGAAAGGTCAAATTCATTGTCTCTGTAAAAACAACTTCAAACTAAAGCAACCTACTGTGACTGCTCAGTTTACATGCAATCCTGCAATCCTCTTACTTTACTATGAACTACCCAGCAACCAGGAAACACAGGCAGTGGCTTCCCCTGATCAGCGGGCCTACAAAGCTCTTTGCACCCATGAGCTGGCTGCTGCTATCTCCAACCACACAGTCTGGATGGCTACTTTCTATGCTCAGGGGCATGTACTGAGCTTTTGAGGCCTGGTTCAAGGGTGTTTTGACAATGGCATCATCTGGCTAACACTTGCCAAAGACAAAAGACAAAAAGAAAACAAACAACAAAAACCCTGTTTTTCTAAAAAGTCCAGGAATCAGCAGCAACAGCAGCAGCAGCAGCATTCTGAGATCAGAGTCTAGCCCTAAGTCGGGACCCAGTGGGCCTCTGAAGGAGCTCAGGGATGCACTTCCTTAACAGAGCATCTACTCACTCGCCCCGTTTAGCAGGGCTCCTTAGCTGCAGAGCTGATTCTGAAGACTGTCTCTAAGTATAGCCCTGAGAGACACATGGAGAGGACTGGAGCAAACATGTTCATAGCCCTCCAGAGCTGTCAGGAGCTTGGCCTTTCGGAGGTCTAATGAGAGCATCCTTTCACCCCACCCACAGAGGGGAGAGCTGTGTACCCAGTGACTCCACCTGCCCTGGAACTAAGTACACTCAGGCGAAGACATCGCCACATTAACCCTGACAGGCAGCGAAGGCGTGGTCCCCTGTGGACGGGGTGGTCCGCCAGTCACTGGAGGCCACTTTTCACTCTCCAGCAGCGGCCGCCACACTGGAACCCTGTATCCAGTGCTTCTGGTGAGAGCCCTGCCACAGGTGCTCATCATGAGCACAGGACTCAGTCTGTCTTTTTTTTGTTCCCTCTCCTCCAAATGTCAAGTAGCTTACACTGGTGAGATTGTATATCTCTGAATTTTGCCAGCTGGGAGCTCAAGAACCTTTTGGACTCAAGAGGTGTTTCCATTTTACTTCTCAACTGTGATGTAAATATGTTTTTGTTTTAATCCCAAGTGTGGGATTTTAGTTTGGGCTTTAGTTTGTCCACAGCTGATAACTGGCTCCTTCGGGGCATGGTCTTTGCTGGCTGATAATGGTCTGCCTCATACAGCATGAAGAGGGGGATGGTCTCAGACTCTGAGGGATATAAATATGAGAGAGCCCAAAGAGAGAGAAAGTATGGCGTGTGGCAAGTGGCAGTTTAGAGAGAGCAGAGACAGACGGTGTGGCAGTTTGGAGATATGCTTCCTGCTGCAGTGCTGACACAGAGGCTACTGGCTGCCTTTGCTGTTGACGAAGATTGGTACAGCCCCAAAAGACTCCACAGACCCTAAACGGGTGGGAAAAGTAAGGGGTCGGCAGCCCCTCTCCCCACTAACCTTCTCTCTCCTATCTAGGGTTGGAGGGTTGGAAGAGAGAGGCTTTAAGGAACCCCAAATAAAATAGTTCAAAAACAAGCACAACACTGAATATATATGCTTTGCACAGATTCCACTCTCTGCTCTTGGGAGTTACACTGCCTATGGCGGCCACCATGCCCTACCTTGTACTAGACTCTCTGCTGTTCTAGCCCATCTCTGGCTGCATGGCAGAACCAAGCAACTCCTCCTTGGACACACACTCCTGGGGGTATACTGATCAACATTCTCACCTACATGCTGCATTGTAAGGAATGACATGTGGGAATGATTTATGATTTTCATTTTAACAAACGGATGTTTCAGTGTTTTATGCATTTTGTCTCCAGGAATCTGGCCTATGGAACTGCACATAATGTACGGCCTTCTGTTAGTTACATCAGCAAAACAGGGTGTCAGAAAGTACCTTCAACAGTTACTACATGACGAGGGTGTACTGCTGTACAGTAAGAGGCCCATCCTCAACTGTGGGGTGAAGACACACCCACACCCCCACACCCCCACACCCCCACACGAGCATGTGAAGAAGTGGGCCAAGTGTGAACCCTGACTTGAGCAACACAGGGCTTCTTCGTGCTCTTCAACCGGCATGAACTTCTTTCTAGTTGGGAAGAGAGGCCTGTTAACCTGCCACGCCCCCTGGTCCATCTTATAAACCTCCATGCAGGGTGCAGGCCTCTCCTGCTCTCAACCTGAAGCAGCTCTAGCCAGAGTCCCTTTCTGTCTGTTGCCTGAAAACACCGGTACGTGGAACACCTTCCTGTTACAACCGCCAGGTGGCTATATGGCCTGGGCAGCACAGCCTGTTTCCCAATTTTACTTATCCATCAAGCTGTATCTTAGAGGCCACCTTCTCCACAACTTTACAGAGCAGGAAGTGCTTCTTCTAATGCACTTCAAGCCTAAGCTAGGCTTGAGTGCAGACTCCCATCTAACAGAGTTAACCACTGACCTGTACTGTCATTCTGGCCTCCCAGGCCACCTCCCTCGGCTCATGCGTTACTTAGAAAGGAGAGAGAGACACTGCTTGGTCACAACTCTCATTGGGCAGCAGTAGTCACTGGGGCGTGCAGTACTCAGAGCAGCCTGATAGAGACCCTGCCTCACAAATGATCTTGTCAGTGAGCGCACAGAGCCTAGGCCACAGCTCACAGCAGGTGCTGCCACAGGCAGCCAGGCTCCACACCACCATGAGCAGTTTCTACTCACGTGTCCCGAACACTCCCAGCCAAATCCCCCAGGGACGACAGGTGAGTGCGGGTTGTAATGCTTCCTGGCCTCTTAGACAAGATATTTCTAGAGTACAAGCAGGGGACAGACAGCTACATGACATTTGTAATAAACATGAGTTCTGAGGGTCTTAATGCTTCTTTGTGTCTCTAGGTAAGACATCTCTAGTAAAACAGCAGGGGTCAGACAACTGCACTGAAAGACTGCAACAGGCAGGAATTTCTGGGTACGTAAGTAGCAGGATCTTCTTTGCACAGTTCCAAGATCTACAAGCCAGTCCTGGAGTGAGGACTCTTACTGGCCCCGTGTCTAGGAGGCCATACACAGCCCTCTGTCCTGAGGGCAGGGAGATGAGACCTGGGAACTCCCTCCAGGTCAGCTCTGAAGAGCTTCCTCTTCCCCAGATGCTAGGATTTTGGGGTGGTAGGTTGAGCCCTGGCTGAGGTGAGGACCTCACCCAGGAAGGAAGTGCTGGGAGGCACTTCCTGGGGTGGAAAGGGTGGCATGCTGCTGCCTGTCCGCCAGCAGGCGGGGCCAGCATCAGCATGTTCACTGAAGGAACTAGCTGAGCTCCTTGCCGTTCCTCTGATCAGCTAAGCATACTGGTGGGGAACACTAGAAGTGTCACGGCCCCAAGATGCCTGTGGTCAGTAGAAGCAGGCAGACACACCCCATTACTACTGAAAGGAGGGCAGTTTTAAGCCAGCCTTCAGAAAAATCTCCGTATATAACCCTGAAATTGCAGGCAAGATGCTCTCTCCCTGGGGCCCAGTGGCAGCCCCTGGGGGAACTGAGGCAGGGAGCAGGACCTGTCCAGCCACTCAAGTCCCATACCTCTAGGCAGCTGGGCCTGACACGTGCAGTGATACTGAACAGTACTACATTAGGGAACTGTGTTGGGTTGAGACACATTTATTAGAGGTGTCAGAGTGCAGGGGGTGTGTGTGTGTGTTAGGGTGGGGTGGGGGCTTACCTGCTCCCTGACATACCTGTGACATCCAGGGGTCGCTTTTTTAGAGCAGTGGCCACAGGGCCATCTTTCCTGCGCAACAGGGGGCTGCTCCGTCTCTCAGCTACTTTCTGCTTAAGCCTTGACCGTAATTTCAGGTTAGGTTCAGAAGCTGTATGAAAGGAGATGTCGTTATAGCCGGGCAGACACAGCTGGGGTCAAGGACATCACACTGGTGCTTTAAGATGTGCACAGCTGGTAAATACCTACTGAAGTGTAGAGTGGAAGGCAGGGCTCTTCTGTGCCTAACGGGGTGGATGCAGCAGGCTGGGGGCCACATATATGTGTGCTTCCACCCCACCCTGATGCCATTGCCACAGTGTCACTGGTTTATTGGGCAGAGCGAGAAACCATTCAAGTGTGCCAATCACTCAATGAGGATGTCTCTTAAATAATGGTCTCCTAAACAGGCTACTCGTAACTTTAGAGTGGTGCTGCTCTGAAACCTGAGGAGAACTGACAAAGGCACCTTTCAGGATGGTCATCTGTGACATCATCACAGCTTCCAAATGACCAGCCTTCTTGTTCACCTGAAGATAACTGCATCTCACAATCCAGAAGCAAACACTAGCTTCAGATCCCTGCAGCCTCTGTGAAGGGCAACTGGAGCTCCAAAGCATGTGGTGTAGGACTGGCCAGGCTGCTTTTCTTACTGAGGTACAGCTCAGACCCTGACTTCTTTTGCTGACACTCAGCACAGTTGAGGTTGAGACCTGGCCTGGCTTTTGTAAGCAGCTCTCGTGAGCAGACAGAGTCATGCAAGAATCTGTAACTGTGAGGCCACGATGGAACTCCATCCTCTACAGAGAAGCGCAGACCTATTTTGTCCCTGCTCCTGGGGTGGCGCGAGCCATGAGCTTCAGTACTCTAGTGGGAAACCCTGATGGGAAAGGCCATGGGACTCTGCAGCCATCAGCTTCCAGAGGACAGGATGACCTGGGAGTGCCAAGAAAGCCAACAAACACGCCAGAGCCCCTTGTCCTATCAAGCTTGGGCAACATGTTGATTTGTGAGGTAGTGAGATGTTACCTTAGCCTCTGAATCTGGGGAGGGAAGTTCCCTACTCCTCCATGTGGCGTTACCCCCCCCCCCCCCCCGAATCAGGTCTCAGAGGCCAGGGTTCTGAGAAGGCAGCCAGGGGAAGCTTCTGCTCTGGCCAGAGGCATGTGGGCAACTATGAACCTTCTTGAGGAAAAAGGCAGAGGCAAAGAGAACTTTAAGATTCTTGGGCAGGGGAGGACTAAGCAAGTCTCCTGAACAGATTCCCCAAGAAGTAATGGCAGGTTAGGTCTGGTGGGTTCACAAGACAAGAAAGAAACTCAAACTGACAAAGGCTTGTTCCCTCAGTACAGCTGGTTTCCACACTTCAGGATGGCCCTGCCTAGGGCTGAGTGAACAGTGGATTCTTAAATTTCTTGTCCAGAACCAAGAGACAAGCAAAATATTTATTCACTGTACATTTTTTGATCTTCAGGATTTTCTGATTGCAACAGAAAATGGACTAGGACAAGTACAAACTATAGGAAGGATCCTGTCAATGAGGGTATGCATCAGTGATCCAATCAACTCCTTAGCATACCTTGCTTTTTTGAGTATGCTGAAAAGCAGTGCTAGTGTCTTTTAAAAGGCCTGAGAGACTGTGAGGATAGCGTGAAAATCTGTTTTTCCGTATTTTATTTTATATGTAGAGGTGTTCTGCCTGCGTATGTGCTGGTGCACCACACGCATACTGTGCCTTCTACGGTCAGACGAGGGCATCAGAGCCCCCAGGACTGGGGGGTGATGGTTGTGAGCTGCCATGTGGGTGCTGGGAATTAAACCCGGAAGATCAGCCAGTGCTCTCTCTTAATCACTGAGCCCTGAGGGTAATTCTTCAGGGCACCCAGAAGCAGGAGGAAGGGACTAGGCCCCATTTCATCTGGGACCACAGGCAGAATTCTGGTAGGAGAAGAAGGACCCTGTAACAGAGAAACTACTGCTGTCTGTGAAGAACAGAAAGGAACAAGGCCTCCGATAGGAAGTTAGAGCTGGGCTAGGTGAGAAGCCTCATAATACCGTCTTTATTTGGAAAACTATGTCCTGGAAGCAGGTGAAGGTGAGGCAGTGGGGCCTGGGGTGTGAGTCTGACACTCAGCAGGTGCACACAGATGCCTGTAGGCCTGGGCTACTGAACTGTGTGGCCCTCTGCTAAGTGGGGTCGAGGGGAAGCCTCGGGAGGACATGTCACAGGGTGCGAGGAGTCCAGACCACCTAACACCTGGGAGCAAAGCCTTCCTCTAGGTCTTCCTTGACCCACTTGAGTGCTTTTCAAAGCAGCTGGGGAGTGAGAGGGTCCCTCTTCAGCCACTAATGTGTCAAGTAGCAGGGGATGGTCTAAGGTGGCTGAGCTTCAGGCATGAGAAAGCTCAGGCAAGCTGCATGTTATTTTCCTGAGAGAAGGAAGACAGGCACAGCACAGGTGTGAGGTGCTGGCCCAGGAGCCAACCAAGGCCTAGACAAATACGCATGCTGATTTGTTAACCAGCACAGGACTGCTAAGGGTTCAGTTCATGTTGAATGTAAACCCTATGAGGGCTCAGGTGGGAAAACTGTATGCAAGGTTAACATAAATCAGTGTAGAGCCAGAGCCAGGAACTATTGAGATTAAAGTCACTTAAGACTGTCACTGTAACCCTGATCATGGCACTTCATGCAGGAAACCTCACTCACTGACTGCGTCTGTCACAGCACCACTTCATCAGAAACACACAGAAGTGTGCTTAGCATTGGCAACATCATGGCCTGGAAGAAGCCGTGTCCAGTGTACTTCAGGCTTCCTCCCTGAATACTGTAGGAAATTAAATGCTTTCTCTGGAATCCTTATTATTAATATTATTCATGAGCTGGTGGTACCTCTTAAAAATTTGGAACGTAACCAAACCTTAATTAAGGTTTTCTGGAGCTTCTCCAGTGTGTGAGAAGCATCGTTCCTCCATTCTCAGGGAGGGGTCTGTAGGTGGGCTGAATCACAAGGCTATCCATCAACAGGGAAGGTTGCTGTTGGAAGGTGTGCCTTCCAACAGTCCCCAGAGAAATGCAGCCCAGCAACTAGGACCAAGAGGAGTGGACTGAGAGCCGTGGAGAAGCAAGCTTCAGGGCTCTGGGGACAACCACCAAGGGCCACACAGCTGTGGTGATCAGAGTGGCTAGTGGTGTAAGTGTTTTGTCTCCCATTGTGATAATCTCTGAGAGCCCACTGCCCATTACTGGAAGGCCTCAGCCTGGGAATGGGAGGAGACTGAACCGGAGCCCCACTATCTGAGGGGAGGGCTAACAGCATACAGTCCTGCTGCTTTAGTGCTCTGGGCTAGTCAGGACAGTGGTATGCACTGTCTCTTCCTGTTGACCTCTGGAGGAGGGTGTCTCATAGGTGTTTTCAGGAGGGTGTGACCCTTTGTGAGAGGTAGGTAGCTACTCTCTATCTAGGCCATGTCTTCATCCTTCTACAGAGAAACCTACCCACCAGAGACACAACAAAACTGACATGGCCATTCCATCTCACACACTTCCAGCTCTAGCCAAGTCCTATTTAGGCTGAGTTAAAATGTCCCACACAACAGCCCAGTGTCCTCTGAACCTTCCTAGTTTAGGAGGAGGTAAAAGGTGAGCCTGTTCATCTCTATGATGCCTTGTGAAGAAGCCACTGCACATGGCTCTAGGAAAGCCTCGCTTAAAAAAAAAAGAAAAGCAGATGTGCCCCTCTGACCTCATTTCTGAAGGAAGCCCAGAAGAAACTCCCTGCACTGCTCTGCGGGCTCAGGCTATACCTCCCTCATATAGGCCGAGGCTATGTGGGTCTACATCTTCTGGAGCATCCTCCAGAAGGCCCACTTCTTACCACGCCAATGCACTGTCCACAGCCATTTCAGCCCTTCTCTAAAGTCCCCATCATCTACAGCCATCACCCAAAAAGGTCAAGAGTGCCGTGGTGTCTTGTGTTGTAGCTTATTCCTCTTGCTTTGATAACAGTCTAATTCCCTTTACACCTTCTGTACATAAGAGAGCTGATGTTCAAAGCTGTAGGCCAGCAGGGATGACCCAGTACATCTTTATTATGGGGCTTGCCTTCACTCTTGTTTCCCTGACCATCCCTGTCTGGGTGCTACCCAAAGGCCGTGTGGAGTTCTCACATACTCACTGACCTTGGCCAGTACATCCACAGAAGCTGTCTTAGTCCTGGAGCTACCCTACTGCTCTGAACTGTAGAGCAGAGCACACTCCAAATGTGGATAAACCAAGGTGCTCTGGGGATGAGGCCAAGTTCTACAATGCAGGAGTACATGTATGAGACCCACCCCATTGGGATAAATCGCACAGGGAAGCTTGGGGTCACCTTTAAAAGGGTATCTGAATGCAAAAGCCAGTGTCCTAAACGATCTTAAACAAGATATCAAAGCACCGCCTGTGGCACAATGGGGCTCACTGGGGCTCCTGTCCGCATGGAGGCACTCAGGGAGCAGACTGCACACTAACCTGTTTTCCTAAGAGGGAAGTCATCTTTGGCGTCGTACATTCCCAAGACTGGGTGGTTGTAGGAGGCTGACACCCCACTCTGGGGCGGAGAGCTCTGGTCAAGGGAGCTGTGCTGTGTCTTCCTGGAAAAAGGCAAAGATAGGTCTCAGTGTGCACAGGCACCCCAAGTCTCAGGATACCAGATTTTGAAACCTGACCTTTTGTCAGCTCCTCTTCTTCAGGGGTGAAGGGAGAGTAGATCAAAACAAACAGGCCAGCAAGCAAGCAACAGTGCCCCTAGCCCCTGTCTGTGTGCCCTATGGCCCCTTCTCCGCCCAGACATGCCCTCTGTCCTTAGAGGGCTTGTCTTCAAGTGCAACGGTAGAAGCTCAGTGGGCCCAGGCATGAGGAACTACAGGAACGGCTGCAGGCAGGGGGGCAGGGTCTGCATGGATGCCTAGCAGCTGCTGTCTGTCTGTCTCCTCAAGCACAGGCCCCTTGAGGATTCTTCTTTTGCAGAACGTGTCCACCACTCATGCCCAATACATCAAATCCCAGCCACCTCCTTTATGGGACGGTTCAGCAGCAGCTGAACCCTGGGAGTTACTAGAAGAAGTGAACTTCCAATGGCCAAGCACAACTCAAAGTCCTAAAAATGGCCAAATGGGAAGGGTGCCAGGTGGATGGATGCTCAGAGGATCGAGGAGGAGAAGACAGGAGTAGGGCTATAGGGAAATCTAGGACCTTGAGGTCACCCTAGCCGACGTTTAGCAACCTTTCTAGATGCACCAGCAGCCAAGCCTTCCTCTGAATTCTGACAGTGTGAGACATTTGTGGTTTTGAATACAGAAGATCTGCTTAATGACTTGAAACACATTTATCTACTTTGTTTAGTATCTGCTAAATGATTTATTTGAATACACAGTACTCCATCCACACATCCAGAGTTATGTGAGCCTAGAGCACTAGTTCTCAGATGAGCATAGGTGTATATTTAAACATCTGAAAACATATCAGGCCCAGAATGGACTGAAGGGACTCTCACGCACAAAACTTAAGAGGGCTGCCCTGAAGACTTCTTACATGGTATGTTCCAATGGGGCCCTTGGCATCCCTTTTCTCTTTCCTACAAACACAGCATGAATGCATGTGCATGCGTGCACACGTGTGCGTGCTCTCGTGTGCCCGTGCACATGTGTGCATGCTCATGTGTGGGTTAAAAAGATAGTCAGCTATGGGAAAACAAAGAAATGTAATAAACACAACTATAATTGTTATGTTTTGGGACATGGTTTCTTCCTATTAGAGAACAAATAGGAAAAGCTGGTTACTCTAGATCCAGTAGATTCCTCCTCCTGATCTCATCTCTCAAGATTTGGTCAATACTGAAACCCACTTTTCTGCCAAGCCTTAAGTGAGCTGCAACAAAGGCTACTATGGACCACCTGACTCGAGCCAGGCCCACAGCTCTCAGAGCTGCCTGCCTCCTTGTGTTCTAGAAACACTCTTGGAACTGGAGCTGGTAGCTGTACTGGACAGTCAGTGAGGGCTCTGTAGGAGTCTAGAGATTAAAGAAGGGACCTTCATTCCTCATAACCAGCTCATTTGTATGGAGCAGCCCCCTACTCCTGGTCCTTGGTCCTGCTCCCTCTGTATCAAGGAAGAGGCAGCCAATTGGGACACTATGCCAACAGCTAGCCGTGGTGTGGCCTCCAGATGCCAGGCCAGCTCTTTTCACCCTGGAATAAACTCAATGAAGAGGGACCCAGATGTGAAATCAAGATTAAATGCCATCCCTAGCTAACTCCTACACCTCATCACTGACACCGTGTACACAGCCACCATGTAGGTTTGTATCTTCCTATTTAACCCTCTTCTATACAGACTCACATACCCACCCCCTCCTAAAGGTAAGGACCACAGAGCAGATTCTAATGCTTCCTAACCAATAACAGCTACCAGCTTTCTGACCTTTGATTTCTAGCCTAGGATGTAGATAAAGCCAGGCCAGGAAGATGCTGGTTCATTGACCAGGCCTTCTTTAGAGGAAGTCTTGGGGTCTAGCGGTACCTCAGTGGAAAAGTACCTGCCTAGCAAGTGTGAAGCCTGGGGTTCAATTCCCAGCAGCATCAGCAGCACCACCAAAACAATAAGTAAATAATAGAATAAAAATGAAGGCAGTTCTTGTCTTACTCAAGATAGAAAAAAAAAAAATTACTGCTGTTTTCTTTCTAAATACCACCTTGAATGTAGAATAAAACACACAAAAATCATTTAAATTCTATCAACAACTAGCTTTCCCATTACATCAGATTTATACTAGTGATTTAAAATAAATAAACTCATTAATCAAGTGTAACATCACAGTCTAACAAAAATGTGTGAGCTACACATTATCTAGTAGCAACATAAAAATGCGTAAAAGAAATGGGTGAAATTAACTTAGGTAATCTACTTAACCTGAGATAAAAATACTGTTTCAACATATAATCAACATGACGCTTATTCACGGGAGTCGTGTGGTCTGGATTTTCTGCAAGCCTCAGTTTCACAGGCCTAGCAGCTAAAGCATGGACAGCCACATTGCACAGTGCAGGCTCAGATAAAGTTTTAAGGCTAGAAGTTGGACACTCTCTTCCCTACATGGATTATCATCACCAATCAGCTCTCAAATAGTCCCAACTGCCCCCTCTGTCCTTTAGCTGATGATTCTCCAGCTTCACTGTGCGGAGTCCAGTTTTACATGATGAGGGTGGCTATGTGTCTGCTCTGCCTAAGGACACTGTGAGGTCTCTACACTGCTGTACAACTGCCGTGCATGGTGAGCCAACCTCTCAGGCCACTGACCTGCCGTGAGCTTATGGGCCGTTTCTGTTTCAGCTGCTAGGGCCACACAGGCTAAATCTGGGTGTATACTTGCATCCCTGAGCAAACACCAGAAAGTGCACTGCTAGGTCATCGTAGCACTGTAAGACTTGCTAAACCACTTCCAATCTGTGCAGGAAGGGTACACCTTGCCACCTTGGCCTATTAACATTTAGCCAGTCCTGTAGGTGAGAAGTGGCATCTCACTGGGATGGGAAGCCACACAGCTTATTTTGTGGCATAGCTGTTCACATCCTTGGCATGCGTTTGTTAGGTTGTAGCAGTTTCTCAAGCACTCTATAAATGAACACTGGAGAATTTCCTTCTACTCTATTGCTTGTCTTTTTGTTTGTCTGTTTGAGAGAGGGTTTCTTTGTATTGCCCTGGCTGTCCTGGAACTCACTCTGTGTCCTGGAACTCACTCTGTAGACCAGGCTGGCCTTAAACTCATGCTCATCCACCTGCCTCTGCCGTCCCAGTGCTGGGATTAAAGGTGTGTACCACCACCACATTGCTGCTTGCCTTTTTCTTAAAGGTGCCTTTCAAAGAGCTGTTTTAAATGTTGATGGGGTCTAATCATTTCAAATAATGGGCTCACAGCTCATGACACTGATAAAGACACTTAATCGGTTCTTACATAAAATGTGTAGTTAATCTGAGATAGTTTTATTCATCTCTAAAGGGGAATGTTATTGCTGGAAAGAAACCTCTCCATCATTTTTTTCTTCTAGAAGTTTTGTTGGCTTAGCCATCATACTCAGATCTCACTGGCTTTGGGCTGCCACTGGCAATCATCACAGCATGTGTGAAGCCAGGTAGGGCTTGACTCTTTCCCTTGAAGACTATGCCCTGCCACCATGTCCTGTAATGAGTCAGCCTCTGCTCCTGAGCATTCCCTCCATGATGAATGGTCAGGAGCTTTACATGCTCATCAAACTCAATCTAAACAAGCTGTCTTCCTGGATGCTGTGCCTAATATCAAGTCCTGCCCTTTCTAGCCATCTTGTTCACAAACTGCTTCAGGGAAGCAGGATCTCTGCAGGTCAGGGACCTCCCTGGAACATCCTGCTCAGAATGAAGTTCTAGGAAAAGGCCTCTCATTCTCCCCTCCCTGGCTATGCCTCCTCTCTTTATGCTACTCCTTCAATCTCTCAGTATGTACCTGATTCCCTTCTCCATAACTCCTTACCCCATAGGAGGCTACCTGTTTGCTCCTAGCCCCCGTGTTCCTGTCAGCCTTTCTCCCATCCCTGCTACTTCAGCTAACCCATCTATCTACACAACTGTGATTGCCCTCCTGGGGCTGTAACACATCTCACAAGTCCCACACCCTGAAAAGGTGCCTCTTTGAGCCCTGTATTTTCTTGCAATAGCACCTGCCCCAAAATACCTAGGCCCAAAGTTGGACCGCCTCATCTTCTCTTCTGAAGGAGTTGTCCTCCCCACCTCCCACATTCCACCCTCCCCTACTGTGATGACAATCTTTTAACAAAATGGTACCAACCTGTCCTAAGCAGCTCTGCCTCCCCAGACCTCTCTATCTATTCTAGGCCTTGTCTGGCCCCGCTGCCCTTTCCAACTTGCATTCGGTGTCTACCTCCAAATCATTATCCCAACTACTATCCTTGGTTGCTTTCCCTGACCATCCTCACTCCCACATGTAAATGGAGGACATGGCAGAAGCCCAGGCTGGCCTCTTTAGCAGAGGCTGCAGACCACACCACAGGCAGAGCTTCTCTCTGGCTCCTCCCACTGCCTTTCTCTGGGGCTCTCCTGCTCATGATCACTTTTCATTACTCCTCACGGCCTGGCCGTCTCAGCTTCCTCTGAGCTACATGAAGATCGATAGCCAGCTTGAGTAGACTGGCAGTGTGTGCAGCCACAGAGCACTTAAGGTGTGGTGAAGAGCTTCACTATGCTAACACTCCTCCCCAGGTTGTGTCTGGGTAACTTAGGTCTTCCACAGAAATAAACCGGCCACCTCAGTGGGATCAGTGGGGTTTTAGTAGAAACAGCTATCTATTTTGACTCTAAAAAGCTATTTTTTTTCCCTAATGAAATTAATGACTTCATTTTGACTTAGGAAAACTATCCTATTGTTTCTTTCCATCAATGAAATGACCCTTAAGTGCTACATAAAATTATTTCAAGTTAGCCATGTGTTCTGTGTGAGAACTGGCCAAGTCTCCTCAGTGGGCTCTATACTACACTACAAACAGCGCATGCTGGCAGGGCATCCACCCAAGCCTTATTTCATTTATTTATTTATTTATTTTTACCCTGGACAAATTAGCTGTGTGCATCTCTCAGCACAGATAAGGTCCTCCTTTGGTCTACACACTATGCATGCTCTGGCCCAGGCTGATATCTCTTCCTAGTTCTCTCCATCTCTCCCAAAGACTCAGTAACTGGATCATAAAGATGCTGTCAGGTCCAAAGGGAACTCTAATTCCACACAAGGCAGTATATATATTTAAAATGACAGTACAGGTTCAGCTCAAGTTGAACTATAGAAGGATTGCTAAAAGCCTATAGTCAGCATTCCTTAGGAAGCTGTAAAAAGTTTCTTGCCCACCTAAAGGAGTAATTTCTGTTTATCTTCTCTTGACTCTGGCAAAAGGGACATAGGACTCTCCACTGACATACACCTGTTCTTTCATATCAAAGCCCACGCTGGCCCCCAGACTCCTTTAGTTCCTATTCATACTCGTTATGCATTTAAAAGTCCACACTAGCTTCCTGGTCTTTCTTCCCACCCCTCCTCTTCCTCCTTCCCTGTATGATGAAAGGTCTCACCTCCTGGCCCTTCCATTCTTGCTTCTCTTGAGGACAGTCCAGTCCAGTCTGCTTCTGTTTCTCTCTGCTCTGGATTCTTCCAGATGCCTCTGGCTGTTCTCTCTCCCATATCCACAATTTTTTATTCCCCCTAATCACGGAGCATCCATTGCAGGGGTTCCTTTATGGTGCTGATGCCAAAGTGCGTACACAATTTGATCACGCGTTAGATTAAAACTAAGTGAGCCTCAGTGGATGACTGGACCAGAAATCCTTACTGCCAGGAGTTCCCCTTAGTGCTCTGAGGATGATCCACTCCTCATCTGGCTGACAGTGGCACACATCATCTCCAGACCTCCCCCCTTCAGATCTGGTTATATCTCAGAGTTCAACATCTCTTCCACCCCTGTATAAGAAGGTCTTCAAAAAACTGGGTCCATTCAAACCTGTCCAAAGAGCAGAGTATTCCAGGCACCCAAAGTGCAGGCCCAGGTCACTTACCCATACCAGTATCGGGGATCACTGGAAATGCAGTGGTTCAGGTTCCGGTGGGCTAGAGCCTTCTTCTTGTTGAGCACAAATTCCTGAAGCTTCATCTTCACCTCTGTGCTTGCCACAGCACCTAGAAGGAAAAGCAGAGAGTGAGGAGTGGGGAAGCAGTGTGGAGCAGGGAGTGCAAGGGTCATGGCAGGAGGAGGCAGATTCCTCTGCAGGGCTCTCCCAAGGCCAGGGAGCTTAAATAGGAGGTCTTTCATCCCAACGTTGCATGAGTGCACTCTGCTGGCACAGAGACTTCAGCGTGGGAAAGGCTCCCGTTAGCTAACGCCATTTCTTTCTGCAGGGGTCTTCATTTCCTTGCACTACGGCCTCAGAGTAAAGTGCTGGAAGTGTGGTGGCTCCACTCTCTCCACTGAACAACCAGCAGGTTCTAAGTAAATTCCATACAGACAGAACTCTCTACACAGCCACCCAGGGGGCAAGGTCTCCTATACTGGTAGACAGTGTGCTATTTACACTACAGTAATATATGGCTTTCTCAGCATCCAGTGCATTTCTGTCCCCGTCTACCTGGTGTCACACGCTCTGGTGGAAATTGTACACCCAAGGGCTTTCTTGTGATATGGTGACCGTTATTGAAAATTGTATTAAAGAAAACACTAAGATCTCAGAAACAAATTGCACAAGGATGCCCCAACTTGCCCTGCACAGTCTGTGTTCCATAGATCTACTGCCAGATACCTCAGTACTGTGTCCGTCCATCCATCCATCCATCCATCCATCCATCCATCCATCCATCCATCCATCCCTCTGGTGAAGAATATGATAAGGGCTCCTTGGTACAATACAGTATTTAAGCACCATGATGGATGATGGGTGAATGGGCCATGCTGAAGGTCTGTGGACAGTCCCTAGTCACTGAAGTTGTTTGACTGCTTGTGTAATTTAGTGAGAGCCTACACATTTAAACTGTATAAGAAAAACTCTAAGTAGGTATTCTGAAGGCCAGGTTGTAGGTAGGAGACATTGAGGTCAGGCAAAGGTCTGGAGAGGTCAAGTACTACATATATCTGCCCTAGTCTCATTTCCTGTCAAAGTTTGGACAGTTTATGAAGTCTACTGTTTATGAAGTCTATTCTGGTTTTTCCTTTGTCACTGCATGCCACATCCTTCCCCCACTTTAACCTCTGCCATTGATTTTCTTTCAAAAGTTGGATAATCATTTGGGGGTCAGGGCCTGAGGTTCTTGATTAGCATTAGCAAACCCCTTGTGTTCAATCCCCAAGACCATCAAAATCAGGGCAGGCAATCTTTTCAGCTAGCCTTTTGTTCTGGACCTGAGTTTGTAAGTATTGTTTTCTTTGCAGACTCTGAAGCCAGTTCAGCACATGGACCAAGTGGTTATTGTATCTATAAAAGTATATCTCCTTCTCTCCTTCAACACATGCCCAAGGTAGAGTTACTGCTGGTCCCCTCTGGTCCTGCACAGCAGAACAACTGTCCAGGGTGACACTGATGTATAGACTGGAGGGTGGGAGACCTACAAACCCTATGACAGGAATGCTCCAACACCAGTCACCCATGCTCTAGTGAAACTCTCAATGCGCAGCCTTGGAGAGACTGTGTATTTATGGAATTGTTTCCGCTACATGTAACACTCCCAAATACTTCTGAAAGCAAGAGGCTAACAGTGAACAGTAACACAAGCAATGTAAACCAAGAAAAGGATAAAGCTTTCAAACAAACCAGGTGTCTTTATAATTGCCAATAAAGAAAATTCCCTAAGGTGTGGTGGAGACAGAGAGCAAGTCCACAGAAGAGCTACTTGAAAGAAGAAGCCCAAGCCTATTCATAAAGATACAAAGTAAAGTTAACATCACTCCTAAATATGTGAAAAATTTAAATTTAGCATTTTCATCTTTAAATGCTGAGATGGTTGGGTTTTAATGCTGCAGAGTATGTTGCCAACAGACCAGATGATGGTGATGACATCAGTGGTGAAAATGGCAACAGTGGTCTATACGGCCACCTCTCTTCCAAACTGCTGCCTAGAAAGATGAGGGACAGGAAGCCATGGAGGCGTGTAATGAGCTTTTGGTATGCAGGATGAGGAAGGTCTGGAACTTTCCACAAACTGGCACCCATCAATATCCCTCCTCAGAAAATGGGAGCCTTCACGGCAGGTACTGAACCTGAGTGCTCATGGAGCTGGCCCTCGCTGAGCCTTGTGGTCCCTGTGAGACACACTCTCATCCTGCTGTGGGACAGCAGCCAGGTGGCAGGGCCAAAGCTTGGGGCTTGCTGTTCAGCACGGACCTGGCCTGCAGGTGATACCAACAAAGCAAGCTCAGAGCCACAATTTCTCAAGTTCAGAGGGAATCATCTTTTCTTTCTTTCTTTTTTTTTTTTTTTTAAATTGTGTTATTTTAATGGATTTGGTGGTGCTTACACTATTCATCAGCTTTTTGTTTGTTTGTTTGTTTCGAGACAAGTTTCTCTTGCATGCCAAGCCAAGTGCTCTACCACTGAGCACCACCCAACCTGGCATCATTTTCAAAGTGAGGATACTTGGTCATTAGGGCTGAGCTTGTAGTCAAAGGCATGCCATGGTGCCATGCTATCTGCACTCTGCTCAGAGAGCAGACTTGCTGTTCTTGGACCTAAAAGGCTGGCAGGTACCTTAAATTCACAAGCAGCTCCAAATGGACACACAGTTGATACAGGTAATGCTGCTGATACAGGAAAGTGCCATCTACTCTTACAAACTCACTGTTGGTCAAATCAGTTTCATTACTTGTTATCAACAAGTAAAGCTGCAGTATGATTAAGAATGAATATTTTACACCGTGATTACAAATGTATATAAAACTCATTAACTATTGAATAAAGTCAGTTAAACAAGAGCTTAAGAAATGAGATAACAGAGACTTTGGACTGAGTTTTCAAATGTTTGGAAACCGAAGATGCTTCCTGCCATTTACATCAGCTGGCATAAACAAGAACCCCCTTCATGGCTGAGATGCCTAGGCCTGACATCAGAGCAGCAGGTCTGCTAGCTGTCTTTTCTCCACAGAACTGCATTCTTTGGGCTTCCAAGCTGTGCAAGCTTGCCAAAGACTCAACTGTGCAGTTTATTATTAATAATAAAACCTGACCACCCAAATCCACAAAATGAAAACCATGGCTGCAGCCTGTGATGGGACTAGAGTGCAGCTGAGAACATTCCAACACAGGATCAACAAAGGGCGGGGCTTAAGACAGCGCAGAAATCATTTCTGACTCATAAACAGACCTGAGATGTTTTCTGAACTTGTATTCTGTGAGCCCGGAGATAATATTTTTATTGGACCATTTTTGTAAACTCCGAGAAAGTAATTTAGTCTGAGCTGCTTTTTCAGAAATGAGAAAAATTGTTATTTGTTGGATGGCTGTGGCACAGACTGACTGGCTGATGTTTAAAATTTGAATGTAATCTTCTGATAAACAAACACTATTTCCTGTACTAAACAAACAAACAAACAAACACCAAGCCAGTACATAGGATACACACTGAGGCACATATGAGCCACAGATGGGGGAGGGAATGGCTAGTCCCACGGCTGGGATATGAGTCCAGCCTGAGCATTGTGCGTGCTGCATTGGGCAGGCGTGTGCATGTGCTCTGCAGGGCAGCACCACTCTGTAAGTACAGTCAAGTCCCTCCCAAACTCCTGTGAGGACAGGGAGATAGCTTCCTGGCAAAGGCAGCCCGCCATGAGGAGCGCTGGGCAAGCCACAAACCGCCTTACAGAAGAGCTTGTCTTGACCTCGGCACTCTGGGCCAGGTCTGTACTTGAGAGCTGTTGAGGAGTCTGAAACCAAGATTCCTGACCTCAGGTTCACTGCAGGTCAGTTCATTAGAGCACTAGGCCGAGAGTGTCAGAACAGTCAGAACAGAGGCTGAATCTGTGTAAATGCTACACAGCTCCCACAGTCGGCACTTATCTTGGAAAGGCCGTCAGCTCCCTTTCAGGAGTGAGCTCCTCAGGGTGCTGAGTGAGGGGTGACAGTGCTTGCACACATCATTCAGGCTTCGCATGTCTTTCCAAAGACTGAGAAAACTACCTTTAAATTCTATCAGTTGAAGTAAAAAATTAAGTATGTTCACATTTCAACAGTGAAACATCATATTACTGATGATCCCAACAGTGTTAATTTTGTACATGAAAGTCATTTCTTAGAAGTTGGAATCATGAAACAGAGAAATAAACTGATAAACCAGTACATTAGCAATAAACTTAAAATATTTATTTTGAAACAATTACTTTTAAAAGTATACAAAATTACACTGGCAAATTAGACTACTTCCCGATTTAAATTTAGAATTAATTTGGCATAATAACAATTTTTACCCTTAAGATAAGCTTGAGAACAAATATACTTGACAGTCCTTTAATTCCTTTTAAAACATAAGAACTTTGTTCAAGAACTTTGTGTCAATACTTCTAATATAATGATTCATTAAAGGTGAGATGCCAGTTGTGCAACCTAAGGCTTACACAAAGTCAAACTTCCAAACCAAATACATCTTTCAATGCAGACAAGATGCAGACCACAGACAGAACAAAGGGGGGAGGAGTCCAGACAGCTGAGGGCTCTAGACTGTGAGGATCCCTACTTCAGTTAATCTGATTATAACTGCTAGGAGAGACCGGCAAACTCCTACAGCCTCTGCTGGCAGCCCAGGGTGCTGGTGGTCCTGGGACACAGGGTCAAGCTGGACAGAGATGGGCAGAGGTGCCCTGGTTGATGGTGTCTCTGAAGGTACATGTGGGTCAAGTAACAAGTAACACAAGGGGCCCCTTAATATAGACTACGAGGAGGAGAAAGGACCCCGGGAGCCTCACGGGCTCTGAGGCAGGCCCCACAGAGTGCGCTTTCTGTGTAAGCAGGCTGGGCAGCTCAGAGCCATGCACTAGGATGATTAAAATGTTTTAAAACATCTGGAAAACTCACAAAACAAACAGGAAACCCAGTTTCTAGACCAGTGTGTTATAGTACTGAATATATAGACTCCTTTCCATTCACAGACCAACACTAGGTGGAGACATCCTAAAAATGGGAGGGGTTGACACAGGGAAGAGAGGGGCAAGCAGCTGGGAGGAGAAACCTAGACAGAGAGGCCATTCTAAAATAACTGACTAAGCATGGCAGAAATTCCATGAAAACTATAAATATCTGAATAAAAATGTGAAAATGGCTATCTAGCAAATGAAAAATCCATCAGAGGAGTTTAACAGCAGTTTACAGGGAAATTTCAAATTAGTACAATGGACATCTGAAGAGAAGAAATCACCACATGGAAGAAAATGGGAAAAACATAGAAGTTGTAGAAAATGGCAACTAAAGTCTCAAGTATGCTGAATGAGGGAAAAAGTAGAATTTCTTTTGAGATAAAAGGTGAGAATAATCAGTTCTAAAAGTTCATTAAAGTATTAAATCATAGAGATAAGACTATGAATCAATCCCAAGGAAAACAAAACACAAAACCCCTGCAGTTAAACATGCATCTGAGAAACACTTCAAACGACAGAAACTCTTACTGGTAGTGAGATATAAAAAATTATCTCTGAACAAGGAACAATAGGAGAGATAGTAATTTTGAAGGGAGCGAGACTGGCGAGAGAAAGATAAATATACACCTAGGAAATCTACACTCAGCACAATTAAACTTCAAAGATTGGGGAAATAACATTTTAGAAAAAAATTCATCACTACTAGATTCTATTCAAGAAACTGTAAAGGAAAAGTATCCCGGAACAAAGTTCAGCCATGTGGAGAATAGTCCAAGCTATAAAGAAGAGTGTGAGCCCTAAGTGAATCAAACAATGTTCTGTGAATTTAAGTGAGATTAGACTTGATGGAGTCAAGCTGGCTGTGGTAACCACAATGGTGATCAATAAAAGTACAGCAGAACAATAGTTACCAAGCTCGTAGAAAAGGAAAACTGCATCATTAAAATATAGAGAAAGAAAATGGGACGGTAAAAAGTTGGTAATTGAGGTTTGTAAAACAATGACACATTTAAGTACAAACATATTAATACTTCTATTAAATATAATGAAAAAAATCAATTAAAAGACAAAATTAGGCTACGGGTCAAAACTTATTGAATATAGATAATGTTGTCCTTAGAGGAAAATTTATAGCTTTACATTCAGATGTCAGAAAAGAAGGCTGGAGTCAATGATTAAGATATATGTAACTCACAAAGCAAGAAAGAGTCACAAACCCAAAGAGAACAGAAGATAGAGAATGAGTAACATTAGTAGAAATGAATGAAATAGAAATATATTAAACAGATTCTGTCCGTAAAGCCAAAAGCTAGATTCCTAAATAGACTAACATAACTGATAAAGGTCTCTGGAGCAGGAGTTCTCAATCTATGGGTCGAAACCCTTTTGGGGTATGAACAACCCTTTCAGTGGGGTTGCCTATGACCAGTAGCAAAATTACAGTTAAGAAGTAGCAACAAAAATAATTTTATGGTTGGGGGTTATCACAGCATGAGGAACTGTATTAAAGGGCTGCAGCATTGAGAAGGTTAAGAACCACTGCTTTGAGAGACTAAAGTAAATTAATGAAACCAACAAGCACCAGCAAGAGAAGGTGCAAATATCCAATACTGAGGATGCAAAACGGGAAAGCACCACAGTTCATACAGACCAAAGAGAGAAAGGATGCTTAACTCAGCCTGAGGCCAGTACTGTTCTAATGCCAAACCTGGCAAGGCATTTCAAGAAGAAAAATGCTGGTCAGTATCTGTACTGGCTGATTTTGTGTGTCAACCTGACACAAGTTAGAGTCACCAGGGAGAAAGGAGCTTCAGCTGAGGAAATGCCTCCATGAGGTTCAGCTTTAAGGCATTTTCTCAATTAGTGATCAATGGAGGGCCCAGAACAGTATGGGTAGTGCCATCTGTGGGCTGATGGTCATGGGTTCTATAAGAAAGCAGGATGAGCAAGCTGTAGGAAGCAAGCCAGTAAGCAGCACCCCTCCAGGGCCTCTGCAGGCATTCCTGCCTCCAGGATCCTGTTCTGTTTGACTTCCTGTCCTGACTTCCTCCGTTGATAGACTATGATCTGGGAAGTGTAAGCTGAATAAACCCTTTTCTCTTCAACTTGCTTTTGGTCATGGTATTTCATCGCAGGAACAGAAACTCCAACAGTTTATCTCACAAATATAGTTGCAGACACAAAAAATAAGGCACCCAAAGAATCCAACCCATAAAAAAAAAGATAATGCTTTATCATCAAGGTGAGAGGAGCTAGTTATTCTAAAAATGTCAGGTAGAATTTCTATTCAAATAGACCTATTTACCATATTTACTACATATGTCAGAAAAAAAAATAATCCCATGATCACCTCCAAAAGTGCTGAAATATCTGATAAAAATCAATACCTGTGCACATTCAACTCATAACACTAGCAAAGGAGGGTAACTTGACAAAACAAATAGGCCAGTGAATGAATAAGTCCTTAAACGTGGCCTCCACCAGAAAAAGGGGACCAGACTGCTATTTCTATCCTATTATTCTAGTGTAACCCTTGCTAGGCCAGTCAAATAAAGACACAAAAGACATAAGGGCATTCTGATTGGGAAGGAATAACAAACCTTCCACTATTTACGGATGATGTGCTTCTATAGGCTGAAAACCTGAACCACCCTGCTGATAATTAGAGCATAAGTTTAGCATGGTTGCTGGGCACAGAGTCAAGAGTCAGCAGGTTGCTGATTGCTTTTCAAAATTGCAAAACCAAGCTATGCACAATAGTGTTAAACCAATCAGATTGCTTGAAATATGCCTGCTAAAATGTATGCAAGTCTCCTGCACAAATACTGCTAACATTTTGCTAAGAAAAAATTAGAAAGACCCAAAGAATACTCAGGGGTTGGGAATAATTAAGGCTGTAAAATATCACATCTCACCGATGGAATACACAGAGTCCGACAGGTAAACCGTGGGCATGTGTGCATGGCAACAATCAATTTCAAGACTTTCAATGAAAATACAAAGTGCCACGAGTAGGAAAGATGAAGTAGGAAGATTAGCATTGCTGGGCCCAGGCTCACTTCCAAACTGTGGGGACTGAAACTACAAGTACTAATGCAATGACAGCAGGGGCTGACATCACCACAAGGGAGCATGGAAACCCATGTCCAACTGGGTGTGGACATCAGTTCTCAGAGATTCCAAAGGGGCCAGACGTACATGCTAAGCTATGCCACACACACACCAGTGCCAGCAGAATGGACATCCACACAAGCAGAAAACTATTCAAATATTCCAAAATGTCTTGGGAGAAATGAGTGGTTTCTAAAACACAACCCAAAAGTACACAAAAGAAACTGGGAGATTATAGACTAAGCTAGAATTGACAATTCTGTGCATATGAGCAAAAAGTCGCCACTCAAAGGGGTAAAGGGTTGACAATGCACACAACTCACAACTAGCTTTGTTCCACAACACACAAGGAGCAGCTCTACACCAAGGCAAAGGGAGCTATCTCGTCTGAGGCACAGGCAAAGGCCTGACTCAACACTCCCTGGAAGGGGACTCACAATCCACACCTCAGTGGTAGTCAGGGGAAGGCAGCACTAGATGCCAGAGGGACCACTACAGAGCTGGGACTGAAATGACTGACAATGGCAATGCTGGGGAAGAGTAAGGCCCTGTAGGCTCGGAAGACCATCAGTCCAGCTGCCCTAGCTTAGGCTCTTTGCTGAATGGATGGTTCCTAGGTGCTAGCTTCCAGGTTATTCTTTGTCATCACAGACCTATCTGTCTGCATCTTTGTATATCACATGCCAAAACGATTCTCAAACAACGTCAAATAACAGACTTTACAAGAATGTTTTAAGCATACGCATCTTGTTATGTAGTACAGATGGAGATTAAAATTCATACAAAAATTTGTTTCAATGATTTGTAAAGATGGCTAGCCATTTTACTGTTTGCAGATAATGGATTTTGGGGGTCTGTCCAATGTGGTGTTTTGAATGAGAAATGTCCCCCATAGGTCCATGTATTGGTGTCAGTTGGTGGTGATGTAAGTGGAGGTTATGGAACCTTTAATACATACAGCCCGTGCTGGAGGAAGTATGTCATGGGGATGGAGGAATGGCTGGCTTTGAGGGTTTATAGCCTCCACTTCCTGTGTTCTCTCTCTGTCCCCTCCTTTCACCCCTTCACTACGTAATCAGCTTGCTTCCTGCTTTTACTGTCTTACTCTGTCTTCTCTGCCATAATAGATTCAGCCACTCTCGAACCATAAGCCAAAATTAATTTATTTTTCTTCAGCTGCTTTTGGTCTCGGTATTTTCATCACAGCAACAGGAAAGTAACTAATCCAGTCCATGGGGTAGACTTTACTAATAACACACTGCCTGTGGCATCTTGGCTATAGTCAAATCGGGCTCTTCTTAGAGGTCAGCAACATCAATGGAGGAATGGGCCTCAAAGCAGGACTGGACACACATGGACTGTGTCCTTAGCTGCATGTCCACCCATAGACTGGTAACTACTTTGGGGGTACTTAGAAAAAATTTCCAATTGAAACACAGAAAAGACCTCAGAGTCCGATGGTATTGTGTTTTGTGGCTTTAATGTTCTGTGCATCTGTGAAGAGTACTGCCAAATAGTCTCAATATGCCCATGTCAATGTGGAGGCTCCAGGATGCCCCTTCACTGAGGCTGATACTGAGGTCTTTCCTGACTCCTGGATGAAGCCAGAAGCAGGAAGGCCAGGTTTGCCTCCAGGTCCAATTAGAGTGAGCCGAAATAATGACACACTAAAGACACTGACGATTCCTATGTGGAGTGGCAAACCCTCCAGAGCTGCTTGGGGAAGCAGCACAGGCAACAGAGGCAGCAAGGACATCCCTGAGTCCTCACTGTGCCCACCAGCACTCACTCTCTTTGCCCTTCTCCTTGTTCTTGAGCTGCTGCAGCTTCTGCTCACGGTGCTGCTTCTCTAGCTCTTGCTCCTGCCGGTGCCGCTCCAGTTTCCGCTGGTGCTCCAGCAGCTCCTGCTGGTGCTTCATGGCCAGCATCTCCTGCTGCTGCTGCAGGCAGAGAAGGACAGAGGTCAGAGCCCTGAAGACCCAAGGACACCCAAGAACCAGCCCACCACTCCCTGACTCCCAAGGTGCCACCTGCCCACCTGCCCATTCATCTAAGGTACTACAGAGGAGGACAGGTAGCCAAGGTCTAAAATTCCTCTGTCCCTTTAAAGGTGAGATTCACAGGACAGCCTTGGATCTCTGCAGGGCACTCAGGAAAAGTGGATGACTTTATAGGGTAGGAATGCTCTTTGAGTATGCCCCAGAGATCGGAAATGGTGAGACCACTTTGCACAACTGCTGGGCATTTCCTTAGACATGGGAGACTCCTGAAATTCCACCTTAGGGACCTATCTACCAGAGTCCACATTAAGAGTATGCTCGCATCATACAAGGCAGGCCCAGAGGCAAGCCCAAGTTTTTCAGGATGAATAGACAATGGTATGCATTCACCTGAAGCAAGGCTGCCCACCTCAAGGAATTAGTTATCAATAGGCAAAAGCACAGGGCTGAGTCACAAACGAGCAAATTCACCAGATACACAGGCAAGGGCATGAAGAAGTCCATAGAGGTTCTAGCCCTGTAAGTTCTGGAGCAGTGGGGGGATAGAGGGGTCGGGGAGGAATGTGGAGAACACTCCAGGACATGCATCACCCACCCACAGCCATGAAAATGCAGTTCATAGCACGCCTAAGGTCTAGTCATCTTCACATAGACATGAGAGTTCATGTTTCAAAATAGGACACATCTAATGGCATGAAATCGAAAGCCCCTTATGAAAGACAGGTAAATACAGAAGGTAAAGAAGAGAGATGACAATACATATGAATACTGTCATAAATTCATGAGAATGCAACGGGTCACCCACATAGAGGCTGAGGCATGAAGAAAGTAAAGATCTATGGATATGGTCAAAAATGAGTGGGAAAAAGCTTACCCCGCTGGACAGACCCCTGTCACTGCCCTGGGAAGGTAAACCGTAAGCTTCCCTCCAGCACTAGTCTGTAACCTCTCAGGCCCTCCCTCTTCAGCAGGGCCACAGAATCCTCTTCCCCCAGCCTAAGGACTGTCTCCAGCCTTCTCTGCATCAGCAGGTAGATATCCTAAGGGCATAGGCACTTTTTGGGTATTGATCCCTCATGGAATAAAGAGTGGCAGGGAGCAGTGATCAAGGAATTGTCAACCAGATGGCCCGTGAAACTTTTTACGGAAAAAAACCGACACAGCGTGTCCTCACCCAGAGTGAGTGATAATGATTAAGTGTGGAGACAGTGCTAGAGCAGAGCATCCAGCCACCCAAGACTGCAGGTCACAGCACCGAGTGCAGCCACGCCAGGGAGCCAATGGCTCCTGGGACCTACTGAGTTCTCTTCACTTACACGAACTCTATAGCCGAGAAGGAACTTGTGATGCCAATTTGCTAACCCTTGCTTGTCAACTGACTATATCTGAAAGCAACTGAAACCCCAGGTTATTCTGTTGGGCCCTCCTGTGAGAAATTTTCTTTCCTCCTCCTTTTTCTTTTTGAGACAGGGTATGTTGCCCAGGCTGCCCTGGAACTCACAAGGTAAAACAAGCTGGCCTAGAACTCAGAGATGCCTCTGCTTCTTGAGTGCAGGGTTTAAAGGTGTGCACCAACACGCCTGGCTTTAAGAGGGATTTCTTTTTCTTTTTTCTTTATTAATTACATTTTATTCACTTTGTATCACACCTGTGTTTCCCTCCCTCCTCCTGTCCCAATCCCTCCCTTCCTCCACCCTCTGCACGCATGCCCCTCCCCAAGTCCACTGATAGGGGAGGTCTTCTTTTCCTTCCTTCTGATCCTAGTCAATTAGGTCTCATCAGGAGTAGCTGCATTGTCTTCTTCTGTGGCCTGGTAATGCTGCTTCCCCCTTGGAGGGAGGTAATTAAAGAGCAGGACAATCCCTATCCAGGAAGGCAAAGAGGATGGACATCAGAAGAAGGAGAAAAGAGGGAATAAGTCAGGAGCCTGACACAGAGGACCTCTGAAAGGCTCTGCCCTGCAGACTATCAATGCAGATGCTGAGATTTATGGGCAACCTTTGGACAGAGTGCAGGGAATCTCATGAAAGAAGTGGGAAACAGTAAGATCTGGAGAGGACAGGAACTCCACAAGGAGAGCAACAGAACCAAAAATTCTGGGCACAGGAGTCTTTCCTGAGACTGATACTCCAACCAAGGACCATGCATGGAAATAACTAGGACCCCTGCACAGATGTAGCCCATGGCAGTTCAGTGTCCAAGTGGGTTCCATAGTAATAGGAACAGGGACTGTCTCTGACAGGAGGGATTTCTTAATCAATTTGCCTGAAGCAGAAAAAAAAACCACCCAAAATCTGGGCCACACCGTAGGGTGGCAGCCCATGTAAAGGAGAGAGAAGAAGGAAATTTGCTTTTGCCTGCTTGTCCTCACTCTCACAGGCAAGTTCACCTGTCTTGCTACTGAGACATCCCTTCCTTTGCCGGTATTAGAGGCTACTTCTTTGGGATTCCAACTCAGAAGATCAGGAATCCTCCAGGATTTCTGTGCCAGAATGGGCTTGCTGAGACATCCAGCCTCACAGATTGAACAACTACTGCCTTCCTAGCCTTTCTGTCAGGAGACTGCCAGGTCACAGCCTCTAAGCCAGTCTACTAAGTCCCCTTTAATATATATATATACATCCTCTGTATTAGTTCTGCTCCCTTAGAGATCCCTAAGAGCGAACAGTTCAAAGCAGGAAGCTGAGCTGGAGAGGTAGCCTAGTGAAGGTTTTAGTTCAGGTGGGACAGGGCCCACATGGGAGAACAGCTAGCCCTTCAGCCTATACATGGATATACCAACTGGCACACAAATGAGCTGTGTGAGGTCCAAGCATGTGTGCATCTGAATGTGCACAGAGGTGGTTTCAGTGCACACGAGCGTGAAGATGGCTGACCTTTGTGAATGTTGCCTCTTGTGTGGTCTCCAGCAAGGCTTTATGAAAGACAAACAGGATATACCTAGAGACCTGTCCAAATGGTGCTGGGTGATTACTCAAAAAAGTAGCTTGAGCCAGTCTTCAGGAACTGCAGACAGTGCTGTATGTATCATGCCAGCTCTAGGGAGTCATCTACAGAATTCTCCCCACTCTAAGAGAGGGTCAGGAGGTCAGTGAAGCTACAGCCAACCCTGACACACACTACTCAAAATTCATGCTTCCAGAAGTACGCAAGCTACACAGAAGGCCTAGTCTCTTTCCTTCTCTAGCCACAGGTCTTGCAGCTCCCTGTTTGGATTTCCCAAGGCAGTCTGTCACCAGCTTCCACAGTCAACTACACCAGGTAGACTGAGGAGATGGGACTGTAAAGAGCTCTGAGTTTGCTCACAATATACTACTTACTCAGCATGGGAAATTCAAGTCACATCATATCAAGAATGTGATGGAAAAGTGACAGCAAGTATATAATTTTTCCACTGTGTAGCCCAGACATGAAATACAGGCCTAGAGCCACTGAAATGACTTCAGCAAAAAGAAACAGATAGGACCACCAGCTTATTCATGCCACATGCTTGATAAAAAAGGTGCTGGACCCTGACTTATGGGTCTAACGTGGGAGATCTAGGCAAATTCTCAGGCTACCATAATTACCACTGACACCCTGAGGCTGACTAAGGCTAGTCATAACACCTAGGACAGACACTACAGCTCTGTCCTCACCTGTGCTATGTCTCCACAACCCACTGAGTGGGCCTCCCAGGCCTTACTTCCCTGTTGCTATGGAAATAGCCCAAGGCAGGAGACTCACAGGACTTCTAAGGGCTGTCCAGACATAACTGTGGTCATGTGCAGCAAAGATTTACTGGCCACTGGAGAATGCAGAAGTCCCATAGTCCCTGACTAAAGGGACTTGCAAGGGCTCTCCTGAGAAAATGAGCTACATCTATAAACATGTTCACTAAGAACATTCATGGGTGCAAGGGTCATTTCTAGCAAGGTGTATAGGGGTCGATTAACTGGAGAGGAGACAGGCATTCCCCACAACAGGTCAGAAAAAGGAAATGGAAGAACATTCAAAGACTGTGCCTGCGTGGGCAGGGATGGCCCATGCAGACCCTACAATGGAAACCTTTCCCACAGAAAGACTACCCGCAGAAGGCCTAACACTGTGTCCAGCAGCAGTGTGTGCAGGGGGAGCCAGTGAGGGCCACAAGGTCAGATTCCTGGCTCTCTGGTTTAGATATCAAATGAAATGATGTTCTGAAAGACAGCAAGACCAAAAGAGGTTAAGTGGCTCTCTGCCCTGAGCTAGCAGCATGCTAGGGTGGACTGTGAGGTGACACAGCAGGAAAGAAAAGATGGGCGGGCCGGCTGTCTGGCCCGGCTTGGTCTGTCCTCACAGAAGCACCTCACACTTTGCTAGCCACCTTGCCCATGCTTCCACTGCAAGTCTGTTTGCTTCCCCCCCCCCCCCACGAAGACCAAATAATAAGGAGCCATGAAAACACTCTAAAGATCTGCGAGGAGGTCAGCATTTGTACTTCAACATCTTTATCTTGAGTTTGTGTCTGAGAAACATCCCCTAAAGAGGATGGGATCTTACAGAGGATAGCTAAAAGTTACCCTGCAGTCAAGATGAGGATATCAGGGAGATACAACCTAGATGGATGGATGGAATGAGGGACCAAACCCATGAGACTTACAGTCTCAAAATCACATCCTCACTTGGCCACCTTTGTTGTTAGCAGTCAGTATAGATAGGTCTAACATAAGTCAGGATCTAGGCTCCTGCTAGCCAATGGCACTGAGCCACTGAACCCAGCTCCAGGACTTATAATTACTTCAGAATAGTAACATTTTCCTATCCTTTATAGGAAAATCAAATTTTAACACTGCACACCAAAAGTAAAGGCATGGAGATTAAGCCACATCCTCTACTGGTTTCATTCTAAGAGACTGCTCCCAATCATTCTGAGGAAATCCCACTGTGAGAAGAGCACCCCACACCCATGAACTACATGG